CCAACCATAGTGAGTTTTGCACTGGAATTTGCTAAGAGGCATGAGCTATCAAGGAAAGGAGTTCGATAGATAGTTTCAATAGGTACTAAATATTGAAAAAATAAACGTTATCCAATGAAGATTCTATCTTGTCTAAAAATTATAATAAATTTATCAAACTTGCTTACCACTTTCATATCCTTAATCCTTTTTTTTCCTAATTTCGTTCAGTGCTCCTTTGGCGTTATTGTGAGTAGCCAGGCGCTAAGCACTTCATTTCTCCTGCCACGCCCCCTTTTCCTTGGCCATTTTCACAAGTTCGTGGTTCGCGGCGGGGCGTGTCAGGGCAAAAACGCCTAGCCAGCAATCTACCGATAGCGTGTTTGCCCGCCAAACGTTCATTGAGCAGTCCAGCCACCTAGCCACTAACCATCTCATCATCCATTTACCCTTTTCCCTTTTCCCTTTTCCCTTTCCCTGATAAATGCGCTAAGTATACGTTGGCCAGAGAGATAAACATGGCCAACACACACACACACACTCTCCCATACGCCACAGACCGCAGAGTGTATTAAGTGTGTGCCAGAGAGTGTGTGTGGCCCATTCATGACAACGTCCATCATAATTCATTGGGTATCGAGTTGGGTTTTGAGGATGGGATTGGGGTATATGGCATGGTACCGGACCGGACTGCATTGTAATGGAATTAGCATACACAAGACAAAGTTGCCAGTCGCGCATTCAGCGATAATTGAGTTTAGAAAGGGAGTGTATGGGGTAATGGCACTGAGAACAAGGATATGGTAAACTTGGGTATATTCTTTGACTAATAAATGAAAATGAAAAATAAATTATTATATATATAATGCCTTTTGGCTTTGTATTATATTAGCAAAAGTTTTATATATAGCTTAACCAAATAATATTAACTACGCAATAATTTAACAACAATTTAATAAATATTAATATCTAATTTTAAAACCCAAAGTATCTTATCTACAATTTATATATAATACTTTTGCAGTTTTATAGTTTCAGTTAGATGCTTAAAACGAAGTATGCATTTTCGACCTTATAAATCATATATATTCTTGATCAGGATAAACAGCCGAGTTGAACAAGACCTGTGCGCGTTAAAAATTGGTTTTTGAAATTTTATTCAATTTTTCAAAAATTATAAGGGGTTACATCGTCAAAATGTGCAAAAACGATGATTTTTTAAGAACTTAAACTGATATGCAGTTTTACTATTGCAATAAAACTAGCATAGGACAGCTCAGAATTAAAATTAAGGCCTTTTTGGCTTAGTTATGAGTTTTTTAAGAATTGATTTTTCAACAAGAATTGCATATAAAATATCCTTTCAAAGAATGCAAATATTTTAAGTTTAGTTATGATGTATTTCCGATTTGATCCTATAATTTAATTAGAAACTGCAAGCTGCAAACAAACTGTGACTTTTAGTAGTGATTTTTTTCATTTTAAAAACATTAAATAGCTTAGAAAATATTCTAAAATTTCTTTCTGTCTCTCTTTAAAAAAGAGCTCTTGAGCTGGGCATTGAAATGCAAATGCAGTCACTCAGTCAGTCAGAAGGACTGTCAGGAAACGGGTCGCAGCTTCGTTGGCTTTGCTCAGGGTTAAATGCGGCCCAGGTTAACCCATGATGACACTGCCGCCGAAACAAAGACACGCCTGCGGGCGCCTCCGATGAGATCCAGTGAACCTGGAACCTGGAACCTGAAACCTGGGACTACAATTCAGGAGTCGGAGAAATGCAACCTATTTTACAGCCGCATCTAATTTATGCCAAGAGCAATCGCAACCGGCAACTGCAACTGCAACAGCGAGTTAAATGCCAATGCCGCCTATAAACGAGGTGAACTTTTCGCGTTGCCCCCACGAAGTTCAGAGGGCAATAAACTGCAAACGTTGTTTATTGTTTAGTGGGTCTAACAAATGAGTTTAGCGGAAGTTTAAGCCTGAATTGGAGCTTAAAGAAGGGCTTAAAACTAGTTAGTAGAGTAAACTGTATGAATAATAAATGTTTGGAAAGGTAAAATGGATTTGAAACTCGGTTTTAATAAGTTCCATTCATTGGCTAATAATATTTATTATTAAAACATTCAAAATAAATCCATAAAGATTACCTTATACATATTTTTAAGGTCTCCTTTAGCCACTTTAATTTTATACTTAAAGAAACTGCTCAAGGAGCTCCCTTTTTGGTCCTAATATTTTCCCATGACCCCCTTATTTTTCCCCCTAGAGCTTAAAGATAATCCATTTCTTGTAAGCTTTGCCCGACCCTATGGGTTTCAACTGATCGCTTTCCAATTGTCCTGCTCTTTTTGCTGTCCTTTTAGGACTTTAGAGACCAGCGCGAATTCAAAGCGTTTTCACCGACTGTTTTGGACAAAGCGTTTTGTTGGAGAAACTCCTGCTCCTCCTCATCCACGGAATCCCTCTGGCAAGTGTCACTTAAAGGCATATCGTTTTGTTTTTTGCTGGCCCCAAGTTCGTTTTACCAAAACTGCAATTCGAGCAATGCAGGCAACTTTTTTCCTTTTCATTTTTTATTTTTTGTCCTGCCAAAACACTCTGCTTTCTTTCAGTCCCAGTCCCAGTTCCAGTTCGAGTCCCTCCTCCCTGCGCTTTCAATTTGTGTGTACATAAATTTCGAAATGGACTTCTCGTGTTTGGGGCCCCGACAGCAAAAAAAATGTACAGAAAATAGCGAAAGAAAAAAGAAATAACGCAGAAAATAAATAAAATTGGAGGGAACGTTATGCCCAGAAGAAAATGGTGGATGGGTCGATGGTTGGATGGCGTGCGGAAACAAGTGGCCATGACTGCAACAACGACACCGACAGCTGGAGATAGTGTGGCACGAGGCAGCTGCATAAATAACGCAACAAAGACCCTGGACAAACGCCAATCGAGGAGTGTCGCGTTCTCGGCCCAAAAATGCCCGCCACCAAAGTTCCAAAAGTGCATAAATTGTGCCAAAAGAATTTGAATATATTTTAAGTATTTCGAAATTCTGATAATGTGGGACACATTCTGGGCGTCCATTCCGCTTGCATTCGCATAGCTTAAAGCGTTTTGACCAAAGGTCCGAAGGCTGGAAGCAATTCCCTTTGATTGTGTGGCGATTTGCTCGGCCAATGGAGCATGAAATTACAGAGGGAGTGGAGTGTCAGTGATGTCTGCTTGTGTGTGAACATGTAAATGCTCACATAACCATACAGAAAACAAGGCACTGAAAAAATTAAGCATGCTAAATGAATTTTAAATATTACAAACATTTTAATTGTGAAACCATTGCTTTTATTATACTCCCAGCTGAGTTTTATAGTTTCAGAAGCTTACAACTAAGTGAAGAAGACATTTCCGAACCTATAAATCCTATACATTCTTGATCAGGATAAACAGCCGAGTTGAACTAGACATGTCATGAATAAAATGAATGAATTTTTGGCTTAGTTACAAAGGTTTTTATACACCAATGGGATACAACATTTAGCTTTCCTTTTCTCTAGTTTTTCTTTTAAACCTAAGTAACTTTTTCTTGCAGTTCTTCTCTGAAGTGCAGTAAAAGGTCAAACATTAAAGTCTTTATACACTCAAGACTTTATTGCGTTCTGCTCGACTGGGAAAGGGTCTTCGGTCTCCTACAGAGGGAACGCAGAGAGACAGACAGTCGAAAGTCACACCAATCGAGATTGACTGGGAAGCCGGAAGGCGTGTCACCAGAGCAGAACTTTGACGGTCACTAGGGAATGGAATGCCATAAATACTAATCAAATAAAAAGCAATAATATCGATTCGATTTGCACCGTTCAATTACTAATTGAAAGAAGCACTCGCGACAGAGAGAACCAAAAAAAAAAAGGGTGAAATTGCTCGTTATCCCACACGGAATCCCACAGCAACATATGCTCATATATGTAGGACTCCGGTGTCATCATTACCATGACTGGGATTACGATTACTGTCATCGTTGTGTCATCACACACACAGCGGCGTCTTTATGGCTTTTGGCGCTGAAATGATAAGAAAAGTTTTTGCCGGGGCTTATGTCCATGCCTGGAAACATATGGCATATTGCCAGGCGAAACATTTAATGGTCTGCAAAATGGCCGGGGCCCGGGACATTAAAAGTTGCTTAACCTTCATTAGGCGCCCGATTCCGATGCCGACTGTCAGTGAGATGGGGCGAAATTTAATATGTGTCAAGTCCTGTCAACGGGGGGCTTAATATCCCATTTGTGCAGGGCCGCCGCACTGCATCCTAATGATATGCTTGAAAGAATGGCAAATCACCGCAGTTGGCAGCCAAAGGAGCGGCATCCGGTGGAGCTTTAATCAGCGAAAGGAGTGCCAATGAGGAGGCACTACCAGTGGCCGTGGAGCACAATTTCCAGCTTGTTTCACGCCACAATGACACCAGAGAGAGAGAGGCGCTAATGCGGCGACATGGCATTATCCTTGTTCCTTTTTTTTGTGGAGCGGAGTCCTGGTCTTGTCTCTGCTCCTGCGGCTGCACTCTGCCTGCTTATTTTGATAATCAAATTTGCGCAAACAGGCGAGAACAGAACAAGGAACACGAAGGAGGCAAGGGCCAAGGATAATAAGGGTTGAGCTCCTTGCACTCTCACAATTAGATTGGCAAAACTTCAAGTTTCTGCAGTTGGTCTTTAAGTGGCTTCTACCTATTTTATTATATATTTATAATACTATTATAAAACGTGACTTAAACTAACTTAAATCATGATTCTGAATATTAAAATTCCTCTTAACTTAATTAAGGGTCTTCTTTTACTGTTAGATACCATCATATTTTAGGGTTTTTCTTCCGAGAACCTTATGTATAATAGAGAAAAAGCGTTTCAAAAACTGTTCCGCATATTCTTCCTTATATAATGAGCTTAGCAAATTCAAAATATTGCTAATTATGCGGTCAGTTGGAGTAGAAACCTATAAAAGGGGGTATTTTTAATTTGAGTTCCATATTTGTCATAGAATGACTATTATTCAATTACGGCTTGTGTTCCTTGTGCTCGGCACTGCTGTGCCCAGTGCTTGGAGCAATTACTACATTCCGTACTTGGATTCAGTACCCATGCCCAGGCCAATACCCTTCTCAATGGCTTCATATTCAAAAATTATGCCGATCGCTTCGGGTTCGAGGAGCTCTCAGCAGTGTGGTCAATGTAAACTGCAATCATATTTTACCGAAAATGACATTCAAACTGACGCCAAGCTGAACACGGTGAGTTGATTACTTTGGATAATTAATGTTGAGGTATAATATTCAGATCTTTGAACAAACATCACTGGTAGTTGGAATTGATCGCCAAGTATGGCTTTCCGTCAGAGAACCATATCATCCAGACAGCCGACGGCTACAAACTCTCTTTGCATCGCATGCCACGGCCAGGAGCCAAGCCTGTCCTCCTCGTCCACGGACTGATGTCCAGCTCGGCATGCTGGGTACAGCTCGGGCCGAGCCTCGGCCTGGCCTACCTTCTCTACCTAAAGGGCTTCGACGTCTGGATGCTGAATACCAGGGGAAACATTTACTCACGCGATCACGTAAGGGGCCGAATCCCCGACTCAGAGTACTGGGACTTCTCGTATCACGAGATCGGAACCCACGATCTGCCGGCTGCCGTGGATGCGATCATCCAGAAAACGAATCAGCAGCAGATCCAGTACATTGGACACTCTCAGGGCTCCACGGCGTTCTTTGTGATGAGCAGCGAAAAGCCGCAGTACGCCAACAAGATTAGCCTCATGCAGTCGCTGTCCCCAACGGTCTATCTGGAGCACAACCGTAGTCCTGTGCTCAAGTTTCTGAGTGTCTTCAATGGTGGGTTTGCGGTAAGTGGCTAGAGGATGAGGGAAATCTGAAAAATGGAGAACAAATTTGGAGTGTTATTCTATACCGCAGTTGCTGATCGAACTTCTGGGAGGCCATCAGATCTCGCTGACGACGTCACTTATCAAAAAATTCAGTAAACACATCTGCTCGTTGTCAGTAGTGACCAGTCGCATCTGTGCCATCTTCGACTTTATATTGTGTGGCTTTAACTGGCAGGGCTTCAATCAGGTAAGATTTTCTTAGATATCAGAAGTGAATGATTCCATTCAATCCCATCTTTTGCAGACCCTTTCCCCTATAATAGAGGGCCACTCCTCGCAGGGTGCCTCCGCCAAGCAGATCCTCCATTACGCCCAGCAGCAAGGTCAGCAGACGTTCCAGCGTTATGACTACGGCAAAGTCCTGAATCTTCTCCGTTACAAGGCCGCTTACCCGCCCCAGTATAACCTATCGCAGGTGAACAGCAAGGTCCAGCTGTACTCCGGCAGCGGTGACTGGATAGGATCCTTTGCAGATGCCACCAGGCTGCAGAACCTATTGCCCAACTGCATTGGGAACACCCAGGTGGCGTCCGAGGGCTTCTCTCACTATGACTTTACAATCTCAAATGACATCCGTTCCCTTGTCTACGATCAGGTCATGGGGCAGTGCCAAAACAATTAAAGTTTAGAATTATTTTTAAACCGATTAATAAGATGGAATTGATACAATATATTTGCCAAAATGTCTGTGTTTTAATTTATTATAATGAAGTTATTCCAATATAGTTCCAAGAATAAATATAAATAATCAAACAGATTCTAATATGCTTTTGCTAAATAATTATTAATAAATTGAGCTGTAATTATCTTTTTACATTATGAAATAATGTTCCTTGAACATTGAAAAAGGATTAACTTTAACTAATACATTTTTGTCTCTGGGTTTCTGATTGTTTCCTTAAAGTTTCGCTCTTAGGCTGCTAGAGACTTAACATAACTAAGAAAAATGTAAGTTAGTAAAAAATGTTCGATAATTTTACGAGATTCCATGAGGATTTTCTTGCTTTTTCACTGTTCCCTACGGTCCTATATTCGGTTTATTAATTTAATTCTAAGGAGGTACAGCTAAAGTTTATATGGATCTCGTCTGATTTTGGTGTCCTTAAACATATAAGGAAATCCACCGAGATATATTCAATTGATTTTTACATAGATTTGTAGACCAAGGAACATTAAAAACTATTCTCATTGGATTTGGCATTTGATTAGAGTTTCCTTTCAAAAAGGAATGCCAACATTTAAAGTATCTCTTCCTGTTTCAAATCCTTGGTACAGCGGCAGAGAGTTTCTTTCATAACATTCCGTTCTTGATCCTAAACTTGAAATAAAAGTCTTTTTGTAAAAGGAAAATCCCTTGGGACCCTTTGTTTTTGTACTTACTTATGAACTTTCAAGACATTTAGAAATCATTTCAAGGTTGTTTGATCTTAACCCTTGGCAATTATTGCTTTAATCATGTAATAAATACATACCAGTAGGATTATCTACGGCACTCTTATTTAGGCATATTCTTTTAAATTTCTCGGTATATTAGTCAGTGGTATATATAAAGAGTCTTAGTAGACCTGTTACCCTCAAAGTAATCTTTTAGCCAAGATGAAAATTCTGATCTGCTCTGCTCTTCTCACGGTCCTGGCGATTGGTGCCGTCGCAGCTGAGGTACACAAGTGATCCTTGTAACTGCTGTACTTAATTGATCCTTGGAGTTTTGTTTTCTTAGGTCAGCGAAGATGATTTATTGAGTTACTTTCGGAGCCAGCTGAAAGCCGATGACAGCCAGGATAATCCCGAGCCAGCCCCGGAGCAGTCGAATGAAGTGGATGAATCCGACGAACAGCCTGCAGCTCCGCCAGCTCCTCCAGCTCCTCCAGCTCCGCCAGCTCCGGTAGCTCCGGCCGATCCCAGTCCAATTCAAGCTCCATCTCAGGATGAAATCGTCATTCGTCCTTGCACTAATCGAAAACCTAGCCCAACTCCAGCTCCGAATCAAGACCATCTTTCTACTTCGCGCATTAATTTGGTACTTTATCTATTACGTACTCATTTGCTGCTGCGAAAGGAACTACAGAAGTCGCAGCAACAGCAAGAAGACCAGAGGCAGTTGGTTTTGAACATTGACAATTTAATTAAGTCGCAATCTCAGCTGAGGATATTGTCCGAAAGGATCCAGTCCCGGTTGTTGGTAAACTTAATCAAGTTGAGAGCCGAACAAGCCCATAGACTGGAAGACCCCCAACACCAAGCGCACTTGTAAGCAATCACAAATCAATAACGTGATCTATTTATCACTATCAAATATCATTATATATATCATTATCATATATTTACAGACATTGGAGGCACAACCGCAGCCAGGATCGACACAGCCAGCATCGTTACCGCCGCCGGAAATATCGAATCAGCCAATGCCAATCGCACCCCAGGGATCTCTGTCACAGTCACAGGCGCAGTCGCAGTTACTGTCACGGTTGGAGGCACAGGCACAGGCACAGGCGCAGTCGCAGTTGAATTCGAACTCTGGACAGTCACAGCAGCAGAGGCAGTTGAATTCGAACTCTGAACAGTCACAGCAGCAGAGACAGTTGAATTCGAACTCTGAACAGTCACAGCACCAGAGGCAGTTGAATTCGAACTCTGAACAGTCACAGCAGCAGAGGCAGTTGAATTCGAACTCTGAACAGTCACAGCAGCAGAGGCTGTTGAATTCGATCTCTGACCAGTCACAGATGCAGAGGCAGTTGAGTTCGGATTCGAGGATGTCACAGGGACAATCGCAATCGCAATTCTTGCAGCCCAAGACAAAATTGCCATCGCAGTTACAGTACTTGTAATTGATTGGTTTAATAAATACATGTCCAATAAAGGACATTGATTAATGAAACTATGTCTATAAATGTGGGTGTCGATGGGTGGTCAATGCATCTTGTGAATTTGATTTTTCTCTAAGCTTTGGCTGAGTAGAATCATATATGTTATACTTTTCTAGTTCAGCAATATATATTTTAAAAATAAGAAAATTGAATATCACATATTTTATATAACATTTTTAGCTATGAATGCGTCCTGCATAGTCTTCAAATGTAGATACCTGATATATCCTAGTATCCTAGAAAAAGTTATAAAGTTGAAATTGGTTCATTTTTTAAAATATCCTTATTTACTTAAGCATAGTAAGATCTTTAAATTTACAGAGAAACTTATGTAGTTGAAGCAAAATAGCAGTTCTCAAGGCTGTTTGGTGTTGGCGTAATCTTTTTGTAAATCTTTACGCTTATGACGCAACATTCAAATATTGATAGCATTATCCCCGCCTAGGCATTTCCATTTCAAGCGTGATCTTAATAATTTCACGGTAAGTTAGTATCGAACCTATAAAAGAGGCTGTGATGATTCGCCCCGAAAGTGAGTTGAGTATCAGAATGATAATCTTTTCATGTTCAACGTTATTTATGCTCCTTGCTGTCGGAGCTCTAGCAGACAGTCAAAGCCTTGGTTTATTCCGTGGACAATCGATGAAAGTGGATGATTCTCAGGTACATTATTGCATCGAAAACCAAGCATGGATAAAACAATATGATTTAACATCAGGGCCTTGGAATTGCAACTGCTACGGATGCGTTGTTACGTGGCAGCCTTTCCACCGATATCTCTAATCAGTTACAAAATGTGGTCCAATCTCATCCGAAGTCTTCAGTATGGATTATCCGTGTTCCGCCAACCCCATCACAATTGTACCTGATCTTAGTTTCCCAGAATCAAAGTCAAAACCTTAATCGCTCAGCACAACCACCTAAAATACAGGCAAGGACGATGTCACATCATGTTGGTGAACACCGCCTTATGCAAACACTTTACACAGTCTCACAGTTAGAGACGCAATTAAGAAGTGAAATTGCCCAAATACTTGGTCTTCAGTCTGCCTCACAGACTTTGCAAAGCGCAGCCGAAACACAAGGTTCTCAGTCACAGTCTCAATTACAAAATCTACCAGTGAACAATTTCGACCAATCACAAGGCTCTCAATCGGAGTCCCAATCACAAAATCAGATTTTGAATACCTTAGACCAATCAAGAAATATTTATTCTCAGTCAGGGTCACAGACTCAAATACAAAATCAAGGTGATCAAAGCTTAACCGATTCAAAAGGCTCTCAGTCACAGTCTCAATCACAAAATCAATTAACTAATATTTATTCTCGGTCAGGATCACAGTTTCAATTACAAAATCAAAAAGGTCAAAGCTTAACAGAACCAAGAGGATCTCAGTCACAGTCTCAATTACAAAATCAATTAAATGATATTTATTCTCAGTCAGGATCACAGTTTCAATTACAAAATCAAAATGGCCAAAGCCCAACCGATTCAAAAGGCTTCCAGTCACAGTCTCAATCACAAAATCAATTAAATGATATTTATTCTCAGTCAGGATCACAGTTTCAATTACAAAATCAAAATGGCCAAAACCCCACCGATTCAAAAGACTCTCTGTCACAGTCTCAATTACAAAATCTTCTAGTGAACAGCTTGGACCAATCACAAGGCTCTCAGTCGGAGTCCCAATCCCAAAATCAGATTGTTAACAGATTAGACCAATTAAATAACATTTATTCTCAGTCAGGGTCACTGTCACAATCACAAAATCAAAATGGACAAAACTTAAACCATCCAAAGGCTCTCAGTCACAGTCTCAATCACAAAATCAATTAAATGATATTTATTCTCAGTCAGGGTCACAGTTTCAATCACAAAACCAAAATGGCCAAAGCCCAACCGATTCAAAAGGCTCTCAGTCACAGTCTCAATCACAAAATCAATTAAATGATATTTATTCTCAGTCAGGGTCACAGTTTCAATCACAAAACCGAAATGGCCAAAGCCCAACCGATTTAAAAGGCTCTCAGTCACAGTCTCAATTACAAAATCTTCTAGTGAACAGCTTGGACATATCACAAGGCTCTCAGTCGGAGTCCCAATCCCAAAATCAGATTCTAAACAGATTAGACCAATTAAATAACATTTATTCACCGTCAGGGTCACAGTTTCAATTACAAAATCAAAATGGCCAAAGCCCAACCGGTTCAAAAGGCTCTCTGTCACAGTCTCAATTACAAAATCTTCTAGTGAACAGCTTGGACCAATCACAAGGCTCACAGTCGGAGTCCCAATCCCAAAATCAGATTGTTAACAGATTAGACCAATTAAATAACATTTATTCTCAGTTAGGGTCACTGTCTCAATCACAAAATCAAAATGGACAAAGCTTAACCCATCCAAAAGGCTCTCAGTCACAGTCTCAATCACAAAATCAATTAAATGATATTTATTCTCAGTCAGGGTCACAGTTTCAATCACAAAACCAAAATGGCCAAAGCCCAACCGATTCAAAAGGCTCTCTGTCACAGTCTCTATTACAAAATCTTCTAGTGCACAGCTTGGACATATCACAAGGCTCTCAGTCGGAGTCCCAATCCCAAAATCAGATTCTAAACAAATTAGACCAATTAAATAACATTTATTCACCGTCAGGGTCACAGTTTCAATTACAAAATCAAAATGGCCAAAGCCCAACCGGTTCAAAAGGCTCTCTGTCACAGTCTCAATTACAAAATCTTCTAGTGAACAGCTTGGACCAATCTCAAGGCTCTCAGTCGGAGTCCCAATCCCAAAATCAGATTGTTAACAGATTAGACCAATTAAATAACATTTATTCTCAGTCAGGGTCACTGTCTCAATCACAAAATCAAAATGGACAAAGCTTAACCCATCCAAAAGGCTCTCAGTCACAGTCTCAATCACAAAATCAATTAAACGATATTTATTCTCAGTCAGGGTCACAGTTTCAATCACAAAACCAAAATGGCCAAAGCCCAACCGATTCAAAAGGCTCTCAATCACAGTCTCAATTACAAAACCTTCTAGTGAACAGCTTGGACCAATCACAAGGCTCTCAGTCAGAGTCCCAATCCCAAAATCAGATTGTTAACAGATTAGACCAGTTAAATAACATTTATTCTCAGTCAGGGTCACTATCTCAATCACAAAATCAAAATGGACAAAGCTTAACCCATCCAAAAGGCTCTCAGTCACAGTCTCAATCACAAAATCAATTAAATGATATTTATTCTCAGTCAGGGTCACAGTTTCAATTACAAAATCAAAATGGCCAAAGCCCAACCGATGCAAAAGGCTCTCAATCACAGTCTCAATTACAAAACCTTCTAGTGAACAGCTTGGACCAATCACAAGGCTCTCAGTCAGAGTCCCAATCCCAAAATCAGATTGTTAACAGATTAGACCAATTAAATAACATTTATTCTCAGTCAGGGTCACTATCTCAATCACAAAATCAAAATGGACAAAGCTTAACCCATCCAAAAGGCTCTCAGTCACAGTCTCAATCACAAAATCAATTAAATGATATTTATTCTCAGTCAGGGTCACAGTTTCAATTACAAAATCAAAATGGCCAAAGCCCAACCGATTCAAAAGGCTCTCAGTCACAGTCTCAATCACAAAATCAATTAAATGATATTTATTCTCAGTCAGGGTCACAGTTTCAATCACAAAATCAAAATGGACAAAGCTTAACCCATCCAAATAACTCTCAGGCACAGCCTCAATCACGAAATCAATTAAATAATATTTATTCTCAGTCAGGGTCACAGTCTCAATTACAAAACCAAAATGGCCAAAGCCCAACCGATTCAAAAGGCTCTCAGTTACAGTCTCAATCTCAAAATCAATTAAATGATATTTATTCTCAGTCAGGGTCGCAGTTTCAATCACAAAATCAAAATGGCCAAAGCCCAACCGATTCAAGAGGCTCTCAGTCACAGTCTCAATCACAAAATCAATTAAATGATATTTATTCTCAGTCAGGGTCACAGTTTCAATTACAAAATCAAAATGGCCAAAGCCCAACCGATTCAAGAGGCTCTCAGTCACAGTCTCAATCACAAAATCAATTAAATGATATTTATTCTCAGTCAGGGTCACAGATTCAATTACAAACCCAAAATGTCCAAAGCCCAACCGATTCAAAAGGCTCTCAGTCACAGTCTCAATCACAAAATCAATTAAATGATATTTATTCTCAGTCAGGGTCACTGTCTCAATCACAAAATCAGAATGGACAAATCTTAACCCATCCAAAAGGCTCTCAGTCACAATCACAAAATCAATTAAATGATATTTATTCTCAGTCAGGGTCACAGATTCAATTACAAAACCAAAATGTCCAAAGCTTAACCGATTCAAAAGGCTCTCAGTCACAGTCTCAATCACAAAATCAATTAAATGATATTTATTCTCAGTCAGGGTCACTGTCTCAATTACAAAACCAAAATGGCCAAAGCCTAACCGATTCAAAAGGCTCTCAGTCACAGTCTCAATCACAAAATCAATTAAATGATATTTATTCTCAGTCAGGGTCACTGTCTCAATCACAAAATCAAAATGGACAAATCTTAACCCATCCAAAAGGCTCTCAGGCACAGCCTCAATCACAAAATCAATTAAATGATATTTATTCTCAGTCAGGGTCACAGATTCAATTACAAAACCAAAATGTCCAAAGCTTAACCGATTCAAAAGGCTCTCAGTCACAGTCTCAATCACAAAATCAATTAAATGATATTTATTCTCAGTCAGGGTCACTGTCTCAATCACAAAATCAAAATGGACAAATCTTAACCCATCCAAAAGGCTCTCAGGCACAGCCTCAATCACAAAATCAATTAAATGATATTTATTCTCAGTCAGGGTCACTGTCTCAATTACAAAACCAAAATGGCCAAAGCCTAACCGAATCAACAGGATCTCAGTCACAGTCTCAACTACAAAATCAAATTGTTAACAGATTAGACCAATTAAATAGCATTAATTCGCAGTCAGGTTCACAGTTTCAAATACAAAATCAAAATGGACAAAGCTCAACCGAATCACAGGGCTCTCAGTCACAGTCTCAATTACAAAATCAAACTGGACAAAGTTTAACCGGATCACAAGGATCTCATTCGCAGTCTCAATTACAAAATCTAATTGTGAACAGCTTAGACCAAACAAATAACATTTATTCTCAGTCAGGGTCACAGTTTCAAACACAAAATCAGACTGGACAAATCTCAACCGAATCAAAAGTCTCTCAAACACAGTTTCAAGTACAGAATCAAACCTTAAACAGCTTAGCCCATTCCAATGACTCTCCGTCCCAGTCACAGTTTCAAAATCAATCTACTATAATCACCACGATAAACTCCACAGTCCAGAAAATTACACAGTACATAATAGAAAGTCCTCCGCTCTTCTTCACGGTGTCGGATATTAAAGACGATTCAAGGCTCCAAACTGTAAGTAAAGGTCTCTCCCTGTATTTTATTTTTTTAATGGAGTCTCCAAAATATATAATCTCTATATTTGTCCAATCCCGATAGTTCGGTTTGATAGAGAAGTACGGGTATCCATCACAGACCCACTACTTTTACACTGAAGACGGCTTCAAGCTCTGCATGCACCGCATACCACGGCCGGGAGCTCCGCCCGTGCTCCTCGTCCATGGATTGATGTCTAGCTCGGTTTCTTGGGTGCAATTGGGTCCATCGAATAGCCTGGCCTACCTTCTGTACCGGAAGGGCTATGACGTTTGGATGCTCAACACGAGGGGTAACATCTACTCCCGGGAGCACAAGAAGAAACTGAACCAGCGGGACTACTGGGATTTCTCCTTCCACGAGGTGGGCAAGCTGGACTTGCCGCCGGCAATCGACTTGATCCTGCAGACCACTCATCAGTCGAAAATCCAATATATCGGGCACTCCCAGGGCTCCACCGCCTTCTTTGTGATGTGCAGTGAGAGGCCCGAGTACGCCTCCAAGGTGAATCTCATGCAGTCCCTTGCGCCAACGGTGTTTATGAAGGATAATCGTAGTCCGGTGCTCAAGTTCTTGGGAATGTTGAAGGGCAAGTTTTCGGTGAGGGTTCTGTGAGTCTGAGAAATGGGGGGAAAAGTACTAAACTCTGTCATATCTTCTTCTTTACAGATGCTTGTGAACCTGTTAGGCGGCTATGAGATCTCGTCGAGGTCGAGACTCGTAAAGCAATTCCGCGAACATATTTGCTCTACCTCGGAGCTGGCCAGTCACATCTGTGCCACCTTTGATTTTGTGCTCTGTGGCTTCAACTGGAAGTCCTTCAATGAGGTAGGTCTCCTCCAGACTCTGTACAGTTTGAAAATCCCACTTGACTGACTCCTTTTGCAGACCCTTACCCCCATTGTGGCTGCTCACGCCTCACAGGGCGCCTCCGCCAAGCAGATTTACCACTACGCTCAGATGAATGGTAAACCTACCTTCCAGCCTTTCGACCACGGCCACATCCTGAATCACATCCGGTACAAAAATAACGATCCGCCCAGCTACAACCTGTCACAGGCGATTTCCAAGGTTGTGATTCATCACAGCAGTGGCGATTGGCTGGGAGTTGACTCTGATGTTGCCCATCTAGAGCAAATGCTGCCGAACCTCGTCGAGAGCAGAAAGGTCGCGTCCGAGAGCTTTGCTCATTTTGACTTTACGATCTCAAGAGATGTTCGCACGCTGGTCTACGACAGCGTTCTCAACCATCTAGAAAAACATCTTAACACAAATCAATAGATTCTTTGTTTTATCACTAAGAATATTAACCGAATAAATAACGGAATATATATAAATATGTCCCCATCTTAATACTTTCGGTGGGCAAGAAAAATGGGAAGGAAGCTCTAGGCAGCTGGTTCACCCACTGATAATGAAGGTCCCTCTGGGGATCTGCAATTTAGTGTCACCATCACCATCACTCAACCGACCGAGGGAGAGACAAGAGAAATCAATGCTCACGAGCTGCGCCAACGAAAATTTGCATATCCCTGGACCCCCAAAGCGCTTCCATAAATTTCACATCCTGAACGCATATTTACACGCCGCGAGGCCAAGTTTCCAAATTAAGTTTGCAATCGAAATGAGGCGAAGGGAAGCCAGGACCAAGGCCTTAAATTGCTCACGTGTGTGACACATTTCTTTCTTTAGCCTGAACGGAGCACGACGACAATGGCGAACAAGCGGAAGCGGAAACGCGAAATGTGAAAAATGCGCAGAGCAAACAAAACGTGGGTGTGGAGGGGTGGTAAAAGGGAAACAGGGAAAGGTGGAACGTGTCGCTTAACAGCTCCACGTACGCAGCCCGCGAGGCACATGCCACCCACCATAGCCTCCTCGATGGAGGTGACATTTTACCTTTTTTCAAGACAAATCGGAAAATGGATAAAGTATTTTCAAATTTTTGCCTTTATGTTTGTTTACTGCAATTAAAGTCTTTGCTTTAATTTAAAATCAATAATTGCTGGACTTTTATTTCTATCAATAAACAAGTGATAGTTAAGTATGTCTCACACTCCATCTTTAGATTTATAGATCAGTCATAATTTATATAATTTAAAGTTCTTTGCTTTGAGCTTATGTTAATGCCTGTCCATCTAACTTTAATTTTAAGGCCTCAGTATCTTAACACTATAATATCTGTTTTCATAAAAAACCCCAATTTTCAATACTATTTCCTTTAAATAGTATACATTTATATAAATTTGCCATCACTGCTCCACCTCGCATGGTAGGCCCTTCTGGACGGAGAACGGATTCCGAATCCCCCATCGCAGGCCCGTCGTACGTGTGTTATTTAATGCTTATCTTTATCCTTTTCCCATTAGTGTTATTGATGTTGGCAGCGGCGGGGTTCGTTGTCAACCTGCTCTCAAAAAAAAAAACTTCCCACAGGTGCGGCCTCGCTCCGCTCCTCCGATAAACTTGGCCTCCGGCTAAGCGCTGACAATTGATGCCAAGGATACTCCAGCCAAATCACGCGCTAAACATTATTTTAATGTCCCCAGGCAGTCACATATGGATGTACATATATTCGAGTCCCTGCCCCTGCTTCTTGCCCCTTTGTTTCTGGTTTCGCAGGGGGACTCTTTAAAGCCCTGCCAGTTCGCTTCTCGTTTCTCGGAATTTTCGTGTGCGTCAAGAGGACCCTTGGGAAGCGCTGGCATTCTGCTCCCTGATTCGAATTCAACGGATCCCACGCATCAAGACGGGTCGTGTCCTTGAAGGATTTGGGCCTGAAATTGAATGAAAATGATGGTTAAGTACGGAGCCAGATGGCTTGGCAACAAATCGAAGCCAGAGAGCTGTGTTCTGGATGAGTTTTTGCCCTTCTTTAAAGTTAAATGTCAGTGAATTAATGAATTACTTGGAATATAAATTAATAAATTTAATTGAAATATTATATAAACGTGTCACGGGTTTGTAAAACTTAAACTCAGACTTCTCCAACACTTTTTCTTGCAACATTACTGAGGGGGGAAAATGCAACCCTGCTTATCTTCGATTTATGAAAACTTGGTTAGCTCTGACATTTCAATCATCGAAAAAAGGTCGTCCGGCAGCAATTGTGTTCTGTTATGTAGTTTTCGACTGGTGGATAAACCTTTCACACATTTTCAACACCAATCCCAACAAATTCAAATGTTTCGCCAACATTTCGTATTAAAATAGAAGCACAAACAACTAAGAAGCGGTCGAGGAATTTCGCGAGGCCCCAAGTGTAGTTGAAAAAACCCATCTGACAGCACCCGAGTTCTCAATTTTCTATAGAAAAGCGAACGAAAACCCAAGTAGCAAGTGCCCCCGAGTGAAGACCAAGTCAAAGTGACCATCGACGACGGACCAGATGCGCCAGCCAAGACAACCGCTCCAAAGTCCAGCCGAGTCCACAAACTGAAATCCCCCAGCCAGCCGGAGAAACCAACCAATTCGAACCAAGAGTCCAGGTGATATGTGGTACCAAAAGCATACTATGAACCCGCAGCCCTGTGTACCGGTGGTGCACGAACAGATCGCGCTGCAGTGCGCCCGGAGCATTTTGCGGATGACCTCCACTCTGCCACAGCCACCGTCTCGCACTCCGTCCGGTCATGTGCCCATCCTGGTGGAGCTGCGATGCACAGACGAGCCCACCGTCTACCGCTATCAGGTTAATATGCCGTCCTGGAGCCTCTGGCCGCAGGAGCCAAAGCCGCCGTCGTCGTCGGACAGCAGCTCCGATCCCGAGTTGCAGGTGCTAATGCTTCCAGAATCAACGGACTCGCTGGTCCCAAAGTTGCCGGAAATACCACCCTGTCCCATGCACGGGCCCTCCGGCCGGGATGCAATGCCGGTGTCAACAAAACCCTTGGTGATGAGCCAATCCTTTGTGCATGTGGTCGACCCATTGGATTTCTCGGTCAACCCGACCATCATAACCACCTGCAGTGCCCCACCCATGGCCGGCAAGGTCGCTGACTCCATTCAGGAGCACTTTGAGGCCACTCTATTTGAGGAGCGGCAGAGTCCGCTGTCCTACGAAAACATCTGGCTGCCGGATGATCCGGAAGCTGTCACAGCTTCTGCTTCAGATTCAGCTTCAGCTTCAGTTTCAGCGTCAGCTTCAGCTTCATATTATACTCCAGCTTCATCCCCAATCTCATTGTCACCGCGGCGTTACCAGGATGTGCCACCGCCGACCCGACGCTTTCCACAACAGCTCTTCCTGGACGAGAACAACGAGTACGTGGACTCCAGCGAGGAGCGTCCAACTAATGGGCCTAGAACCGAGGCCGCAATAACTCGGAGCGAGTGGGCTAGAATCCCCGAACTGTGTCTGGATAGCAATGGGGAGTATGTGCCAAATCAGCTGCTCCAGCGTCCTCTCAATGGTTACCGGCTGGAGAACCAGCCAGTGCAGCATCCTCCCAGGCAGCAGCAGCAACAGCACCAGCAGCAACAACAGCAGCAGCAGCAGCAGCAGCATCTCCACCAGCAGCAGCAGCAGCAGCTCCACCAGCAGCAGCAGCCCCACCAGCAGATGCACCACCAGAAGCAGCAGCAGCCGCCGGCCCACCCTCCCATGAGACTTAACGGCCTCAACGGTTTCAAGACCCCAAAGAGCTTCCCCCCTCAACTCAACGGTATCCACAAGAACGGCTATAAGCCGGCTGACCAGTATATGGCCTACACCGATCAGGACAAAGTGATGCGTCTGCGCTTCCAGGAGCACTTCAACGACTGGTCGAAGCAGGTGCCGGCCCGAGGCGAGCAGCATATGGAGCGATTGATAAATCAAATGACAACGGAGCCCCTGCCGCGTGTCACAGGTGAGAGATAAATGGTGAATCCCAGGTCCACAAAGAGTAATTCTAAAAAGGAAATCTGTTTCTAGATGCTGTTGTGCCGGCGGAGGCACTGCCGCAGCCCCACAGCTACCGGGAGCCGCCGACGTTCTTCCGCTGGAATTACTGCACTCTGTGCCATACGGCCATGCGGACTGTCCGCAACTCAGTTGACCATTATACATCGCGGGCCCATGAGCGACGGGTCAGCACCTTTCTGGGCCGCTTGCGTTTTGACAAGAATCTGTCCACAAACCCGGCCCTGGGAGATATCCTAGCACTGCCGGAGCAAGTGCTTCGTTTCTTGCATAAGGACCGCCCCTCGGATCTCTACTGTGACCTGTGCGACCTTCGACTCACCTCGATTATCCATGCCGAGCAGCACTTTTTCGGTCGTCGCCACCGCCAGATGGAGCGTCAGATGAGCGAGGATCACGGCATTTACACCATGCAGAGCCACTGGATGCGCAAGGACACCAAGTTGCTGATGTGCGAGCTGTGCGACGTGAGCATCACGTCCGAGTCTCAGATGGCCATGCACATCTCTGGCATTCGCCACCGGAAGCGTGCCCACATAGCACGAGCACGTGGCATCTTTGGCCTGGGCCCGATACCCGTCGATGGCAGCCACATGTTCGAGATCAACAACAATGGCACCCTGGCACCGTTGCGTCCGCAGGTTTCCAGCGCCATCCAGTACCGCCCTTGGGGCGACCCCAGTGCCGCCTACTACTGTGAGGCATGCAACGTGACGCTGAACCACCTGAAGTCGGTGAGGCAGCACGAGAACGGGCGCATGCACCAACGCAACCTGGTGCGCCTGCCACAGAAGTGATCAGGATCAAGGATGATCGAGAGGAACAACATTGAGTGATGTTAGTATGGAAGTAGCAGAGAGCAGTTCGATTTAACCACCCCAGTCCGGATCGAAGAAGCCGGTCCGCGTTGCAGTGCTGCGTGTTAATTGCAATTTATTTTTGATCTATATAGCTTTTTATGTTTTATAATAGTAGTAAATAAAATATCTCGCTAAAATCCAAAAAGGTAAACCTAACTATTAAAACTAAGGCAGGCTTCTATAATTTAACTGCCTTGCAGGGTATTATAATTTTAGCTTTTCAATTTAGTCTGTGATTTTAAAGTGAAGGAATCGTTTCCTACCCTAAAAATTATATATATTCATGGTCAGAATTAAAAGCCAAGTCGATCTAGCCATGTTTGATATAAAAATAAATTCATTAATTTTTTTTAACTTTTAAAAATGAATAATGTCAAAAAAAAAGGCAAAAATTTTTATTTCTTAAGATTTTATACTCAATATGCATATTTAATACTCTAGTATAGGAAAACTTTCAGAATTAAAATTAAGGCCTTTTTGGCTTAGTTATGAGATTTAATTAATGTTTAATGTTAAATGTTTAATTTTTAATTTAATTTGTTTAATTTGTCACATAAAAATCGATAAATATATATTGAAATAATCCAAATAGTTCAACTTAAATAAATACAAATGACATCAAATACTCTTTTAATATTATTCTAAAAATATGGAGCATACCTAACTCAATATAAAATAAAATGTAGCTACGTTTTTTTAACCCTTGTAGCTATTTAAAATACTTGAAAATAATTTATAAAACCTTGCATGCTAATGCTTGCAGTATGAAGCATACTTTCAGGGGTAAATAAAAAATGTCTACCAGCATCATGTTGCTGCAACAAGCTGCAGTGCAGCCATATCAAAAAATCTACATTTCCGGTTGGGAGGAGGAACTATCAGCACTTCCGGGCTTAATTAATGATGCGATTCTCTCGCCGCCTCTGTCTGGAATCTTTGCTTTTAATTGCTCGCCTGCTTATGCAACGGCACGCTCTCCTCCGGTGGCCAGACGAAAGTGGCATAAAATCTGATGCCACTGCAGGCGATAATGGTGGCCGTAAAAAGGAGTTATATCGAAGTGAGAGCGCCACTGCCAGTCGGCGGGAGTCTAGACAAAACATGGCGTTAAATAAATAAATAATAGCAGCTAAAAAACCAACCAAAAGGGGCAAAGAGACAACTTGGGAGGAAGAAGAATATTTATGGCCAATTCTTTTTTGTCGCTCAGCTTTGTTACTTTGTTTGGGTTTTCCGGGACAAGGTCAATACCATGTGGTGGCCACACACATCCTGGCACAGGGCTACGGTTACGGATATCTGCTATCCATTGGTCCTGGTCTGGTCGCCGGTTTTGCCGGTTTCAACAGACAGCAGAAGCTTCAAACATGTTTTCGCATAAATTAAACTTAAAACATTTGACGCCATTTCTGGTATTGTTGCTGTCGCATTTTCCACGCTTTTCACTGCGGAAATTCTGCAATATGAGTAGGGGTAGGAAAATATACAAATAAATATGGGCGGGAAATTGACATTTTTATCGATGATATAGTTAATGATATTGCCATTGTCCGAATGGGTGTTGGGTTTGCATTTATCTGCCTTGATGACAGCCATTAAGCAGATGAACTGCAGAACGAAAATAACGCATATTAAAGTGTTTTCTACAAATGAAAATTACTATGTAAAGTTAAGGATATATAGTCAAATTAAAATGGAAAAAATCGTGAGCAAAGAATGTGTAATTATTATATTTTATTAATGATATATTTTCTATTAGAATTTGATTAATTTAATAAACTTTTAATGTAATTCTCCATGTGTGTTGATTTCCCTTTAATAGTCCTCGAATATAGCTTTTTAAAAGTGCAGCATATACACACATGTTTTTGCACATATTTATATTAGCTGCACTCCAGATCCTCGGAAAATTGCGTTGAGTTCGTGTACAACTGTGTAAACAAATTAATTATGCAACTTTGTGGCTGGGCAAACTGAGCCAGCCTTCGCGCTCACTCAATAAAATATCCTTTCAACATATTTCAGCATAAACATTCGCCATTTCCTGCCACTCGCACTCCTCCCCCCCCTGGGGGCAGCCTCAACCGCTCAGGCATAAGGAAATTTATGCGTGGCGAGGCCAAAACCAAAACCAAAACCGAAACCAAAACACATTCTCCAGGGCAAAACTCTCGACTCTGGCGACTAATTTGCATTCGTATGGCCCCCAGATACAGTGCAGTGCAAAGATACGGATACACACACAGGTAGAGATACAAATGCAGCCAGCATCTGTGCAATTAACATAATTTCAGCAAAATGCTCACTTGGACAAAATGCCGAGGTAGTTTAACTTATTTGCATATTAAATAAAGTGTCCAAGTCTGGATAAGTGGAAGTTCAGTTATCATTTATATCTTTAAAGTATTCATTGTGATTGAGATTAGATTATCTTCGTTCTTGAATCTGTTTTAAATAAATCTAAGCTTTGAAAAAAGGGTTAGAAAATACTTCTATAACTACAGAAGCTTATTATATTAAAGACCCAATTAAAATTTAAGAAATTCCCTTTAAAAATTAATAAGAAAACTCTGAAATTTCTCTTAGACAACTTTATTTCAAACAAGCTTTACAGATCGTTTAAAATAATATGCGAAGCTATGACCATATTACGATCTGCCCATTTCAGATATTTTGCTATTAGTTATGTGATCGTTTACTTGTCACAACCTAATAAACTTTTTATATGCCACAGTCATAGCCTTTTTTTCTGCCGCTTACTGTCTTTATAGCACTTATTACGGGTCGGTCGAAGTTATGTCAAAACTAGATTCACATTTCTCAAAGGGTGTGTTTTTTGGGGATCAGCGCAAAAGGTTCAAAGCGTGTGAAGTGCTTATTGTTTAGCTGTCTCTGCGGAATTATATAAACAGCTTTTTAATGTTTTTAATTGTTACGTGTTTTGCGTACATTGTGTGTCACAACAAAAAGCAAAAACAAAGAAAAGAAAAAGAAGTACAATAGGAAAACCGGATTGAAAAAGAACGTGCTTTTAAAAGAAGGCTAAATAAAAACATATAATTATAAATTAGGAACTGCAAGTCTTAATAAATAAATTACTTTTACTAAAACAATTATATACAGTCATAAAAATTACCAGCATAAAATGAGAAATAATAAGAGAAATGATAATGCTTTTAAGAAATTTTAATTTCATACCTTTTACCCATCTTTAGTTCTTCTTATCAATGCTCTTAATCTAAATTTTCTTGTGATTTAAAAAAAATTATGAATTATTTATCACAAATGTACCAAGTCACTCAACTTCGCGCCTTTATTTGTGCCTCGTCATGTGCAACAAGTGGCAACAAATTGAACAAGACGTTGATTAGAATCCACACTTTGCGACATCAGACATCAGCTTTGGTAAACAAATCCCCCGAGATTTTCCCTCATTTATTGGTCTTTCTTTTTTTATTTATTAATGTTTTTTAGTTTATGATGAAATATGTGTCAATCGAATGTGTGGCAGAAACCGAAAAAAACCCGCTGATTTTTGCTTTGGCATTTCGCTCAAAAATATTGCAAGAAATGTAAACAGGAACAGAGAGCCTGTTGGCTGCTTGCTGCCTGGTACCATGACACATTTACCAACATTTTGCGAATGACAAATCTGGCAAAGGCATTCGGTCGATGTCCACCTGTTGTTGTTGTTGCAGAGTTGGAAAAGCAAACAAGCAACGCCGTCGGGGCTCCACTGTCTCTCATGCCGCGTGCCTCATGCCGCGTGCCTCATGTTTCATGTCTCTCTCGGCAGCGAAGCTGGAAAAGTCCGAAAATTTTAGTATAGGAAAAGTGTAAATGCTCTTTTTACCTTAATACATACTTGCTATAAACCAAGTAGGCTTTCTTTTTGGCTGCCAGGAAGACATTATACACTTCAAAACAAAATTAATTAAAGCCGAAATTCAAACTAAATCATATACACAGAACCAAAAATTTAAAAGATTTTCCCTAAAACAAAAGTGAGGCAAAATGGTGCGGAGACGACGGCCTAAGAGATCCAGGAGAACTGCCGAATTGGATCCATTGAGGGAATTCCTTGAACCCTATTTGGTCGATGATCCTGAACTTCAGGAATTACTGCCGGAGATTTTGCGTATGCTTCATGAAATTCCCGATGCAGCATAGTTCATAATTTCCCACAAATTTGGTAACATAAAAATTATATTAATAGTTACTATGTGGTGCCAACTGTGCTGTGATTTTCTTGCAGCTTTCCTCTTTTTATAGAGTACACACAAAACTACTTTCGATGTCGCCATTAGCAGACTTTTCTTGGTTTGGAAAATTTTTGTGCAGTTCGGACGTTTGTTGAGCACCAGGGGGGAGGCGGGATGGAGGCTCGGCTGGAAGGTTATATAATAACAGGCCATGGAGAGAAGCTACCGCCACAGCATCTGTCTTTGGGTGCAATCAACCTGAAATTGGAATGCCATGCGATTGGAATTCGTTACCAAATATTGATGACAGTAATAGCCCCAGGAGCATGCCGCCAAGTCTTTTTTCTGAGCGTTAGGAATCACTTTACATAATCGTTGAAGAGAAGCTACTACTGAAGCCGCCAATAAAATCCGCGAAACTACCAAGTTACGCAGACTCCAAATTGGGAGAAAAACGCCCCACAAATTGCGACTTGTTGCCGCCGCCTCCGCCGCCGTTGGCCTAATTACAGTAGTTGGCCAAAAGCCTATGTGGGTTGGATGCTGTTGGCATGGGCGAGAGAGCGTGGGCGTGGGCGATATCCAGGCGCCACAATTAAGATGCGGTTCCAAAAGCGCCACCTTTCACGGGAATGCCTCAAGGGGCAGGCTGGCTAACTGTCTGGTGGTTTTCTTTAACCTCAATGTTCTCTGATTTTGGCGAAAACAATGTGTACCTTCATTAATTTTGATTTAATTAAATACAGGTCGTGTTTAGAATTAGCTTTTGTTGTTTTACTAATATAAATCAAGAAAAGGATAGGTACTTGAAGTAGCTCTAGCTTGAAGTTTTGGTGCTCAAAGGTTGTAAATCGATATTCGAAAAACTCTTAAATCCCTGTATGACTTTAATTAACAAAGTAACAAAGCTCTGTTTCTAAGAGCTTTGATTAAATAGCATAAATTAAGGTAAATAATAAATTATCAACCCAAAATTTCACAAAGTTATTAAACTTTAAATGTGTTCATTTATTTAAAAGTATTTAAACCTAAAAATACAATTGATAAACAGTTGCTAAACTTTATAAGTATATTACTTAAGTTTGGCTTCCCAACTTAACTTCACAGTTTAACCTTTTAGTATTTGGCCTTTAATTCTCTTTAAAATATTCATGTTTATAGTAAATTTTAATGTCTTAGCATTAGTTGTTCTAAGGCTTTAAATTTAAATTGAAAGCCTTGAAAGGTTTCTTACCAGCTTCTAGAATCAGCACAAATCAAGTGTAGAAACAATGAGAGGACTGGGGTTAAGGGTCATTAAAGTGTTAGCACAACTCGTTAAACCCAATCCTGGTGCCCGGCAATTAAGCACTTTTGCCTGATACCCACATACTTATACCAAAAATACAAACATGTCTTTTAAGCCGTCGTAAGATGATATGCAAATGAGATGGACGGCCGGAAAGTGTGTCAGCCGTAAAGCAAACACCGAACAGAAGCCGCAAAAAACCCTCTCATCAAGGCCACAAGGCAAGGAGAAGCTGGGGACCATATCTGGTGATGGGATTGGGCTTGGGATTGGGTCTGGAATTGGGACTGGAAGTTAACCCCTTGTACCCGGCACTTAAAAACTTATGACTCTCTTTCAACAGCGATTTTCAGTGTCACGCTACACCGAAGCGGGATAAACCGAAAAAAGCAAAATACAAAAATTACAACAATTTCGATGCAGCGGCAGCAACAAACAAAACATACCAAAAATAAAGCATTACTCGTGACCTTGAGATTGGCGGCATTAACCCATTACAAAATAAGAGGTGTTTTTAAGCAATTAAGAAAAGTAAATATATGATATATATAATATAGGTAAAACAAGATATAAATTATATATATATGTATTTAAAAACAATGAAGTAATACCTGCTTTTATTTCATTCACCTATACATATTATATTTGCAGCTTTATATTCACAGATTTGTATTTTTCTTCTACATCAAACGATCGTTTGTATGGCACCTATATGATATAGTCGTTTGATTTTCATAAAATTTTACACAAAATTTTAGAATAATATGAAATGGCTATATCTCAAATTTGATTAAATTCTGTTGAAAACTGAAAATGTTATACTTATTAATTGAATTAATTTCTCGATCGTTCCTATGGGAGCTATATGATATAGTCGTCCGATTTTCATAAAATTTTACACAAAATTGTAGAATAATATTAAATGGCTATATCTCAAATTTGATTCAATTCTATAGAGAACTGAAAAAGTTAAAATTTTTTTTGTAAAAATTTTCCGATCATTCCTATGGCAGCTATATGATATAGTCGTCCGATCCGGCCCGTTCCGACATATATACGAGTGAGAGTATATAGAAGGCTAACTACAAAGTTTCATTCAGATAGCTTCAAAACTGAGAGACTAGTTTGCGTAGAAACGGACAGACGGACAGACGGACAGACGGACAGACGGACAGACGGACATGACTAGATCGACTCGGCTGTTGATCCTGATCAAGAATATATATACTTTATATAGTCGGAGGTGCCTCCTTCACTGCGTTGCAAACTTCTGACTGAAATTATAATACCCTGCAAGGGTATAAAAAAAGGAAATATATATTCAAATTGTATTACATATTTAATAAAACCAGTTTTGAAACGAAAACATAATTAAATATGTGTGAAAAATATATAAAATAAATAATAAAACAGACGCTTGATTAAGTTAAGAGCACTTGTATACCAAAGAATAACTTTAAATCTTATTTATCCTAACTTTAAGTAAATGTAAAGCCAAGATTTAAATGGGTTAATGCTGCCACTGATCGCTGACATTGCCACGTTTTGCCTTACTCTTGGTATTGGCAATTTTCCCCCAGCCCCAAAAACGTACGAAATGTTGTAAGAATCTCAGCGGAGGCAAAGCCAAAAATAAAAACTACAGATAATTGCAGTCGTAACAATCCGAACGAGATAATAACGAAAAAACAGAAGCACAACAACTAAAAAAAAAACAAAACACAATTACTAAAGTCGGACAAAGGCGGCGAAAGAAGTGGATGACCCTGCCCCTCAGGTGATTGCATGTGGCACGTGTTCATGACATTCCTCCCAGTCCAACTTTGTGGCACTTTTAATGGCATTGCGACCCAATTGTTATCGCCTTGCAAATGCAGATCATATGCTATGTGATCATTTTTAATCGTTAATCGATTGTTATCGCCTTGGAAATGCAGATCATATGCTATGTGAACACTTTTAATCGTTAATCGATTGTTATCGTCTTTGAAATGCAGATCATATGCTATGTGATCACTTTTAATCGTTAATCGATTGCAATTCGATTCGTAATTGTTTAAATTAATTATAGATTCTGAAAAAGAATTAAAGAGATGTTTCTGTAAGATATTGCTCATACAAATTTTTAAAAATAAACTAAATGATATATAATATATAACAATTTTAAACATAGTTACAAATTTAAGTTCCCTTTCTTACTTCCTCTTGCAATTTCTTGATAAAACTTTAACTTTTCTCATCGGTAAACACTTTATTTAAAAACCTATATAATAAAAAATTCCCAATATCCATAAATAAGCAGTGGCTCAGTAAATATTATTATTTATGCTTGTTGCAAGGTCATTTTGCTCAGCGTTTCGCTTCTGCGAAACTTCCTTCGAGTGTTTAATTTTTTTTCCCTCCAGTTTTTTTTGCTCACTGTGGATGTGGTAAGAATGCATGTAAAAATGGTTATTGAATTTATGATTAATGTCTGTGCACATTGTTTGTCATTGAGGAGCCGACAAATTGGCCCGGCCAAGGGCAACCAGTGCGGCAAGAAAACCAAGATAAGCCCCAAAGATAAACGGGAAGAGATAGCAGCCAAAGCTGCTGCTGCGGTGGGAACAGAAAGAAAAAAATACAAAAGAAATAAAGCCAGAGACAAGGCCCAGACGCAGTGACAACACCAGCAAACAGGCAATGGAATTATCCCAAGATGCAGATAGCCTGAAATGAGATATAAACAAAACAAATGACGGGCAATCACAACAAATCGCGCAATGAGCAAGGAGGAGGAGGAGGAGGAGGCGCGGCACAAAGCAAATTTTATGTGTGTGTGTGTGTGTATTTGTTACTTGCATTTTAATTTGGCCGAAATGCAGACGTAACCCGATGCCGGGCCAAATATTTCGACAGGCCGGGAGGGGGGGCTGCTTCAATTGCAATTACCTTGGCGTCGCGCCACCGGAGCACGCAACCGAACCGAGGCGCAGTATTGGGACGTTCGGGACGTGGACGTGCCAAGTGCTCCGCCGTCTAACGGGCTAAACGGATCGAACCCACAGACAAGTCCCATCTTGTAGAAGGAAAGCGAAACGAAACGAAACGAAAGACTTAGGCAAAAAACTTGCTCGGCACGCGCCAAAAGGGGAGGGGCGGGTCTGTGGTTGCATTGGGGGCGTCGAACATGTTGGCTCAATCAGCTGACTAATCTGGGCAAGTTGAGCTAGGTCGGTAAATATTTACAAGAGGAGAAAAGATTAGAGGTTTATATTATAACAAAGATATATTTTATAAATTAAGCTAAGTTAAAATAATAAATAATAAAGTTAAGGTCATAAATTTGGTTCAAATGTAACCCATTTATAAACAATACTATTACCTTTATTTCACTTTTAAAAATAATTATTTGTATTTTTTCTTATTATCTTTGAAGGTAATTAAAAATAAAGTTACCAAAGTTTTATTTGTATAATTTATTAACGATCAAATATTCTCTATATATAATATTAACTTATTTACATTTACTTTTTTAATATTTAATTTAATTTTTCCCCCGTGTAATTTAATTACCAAACTATAAACACAAGAAGCTAAGCGATTGTTTTATATTTAGAGAGAAGCCAGCTATATTATCTGCCTTAAATCAGCACTTTGGGAGCTTCAGCTATTTCCCATCCAACAAGCATGCGATCCGCAGTCCAACAAGTTGGCCTTAAGCCACCGATCGGGCCTAGTTGAGCTTTCTTGCAACCGAGACTCGGTCAGTCGAGTAACGAAGCTCAAGCCAGACGGTTGCCAACTCAGTTTGATCGCCGCGTCTTACCTCTACGGATTGGAGTGTGTCACTTGCCGTGGGAAATAGCCGAAAGGATACCCCCGTTTTGCCTTCCAATTGGATCCGATCCGATACGTAACGTGCCACGAGTGTGACGAAAGCTAAGAGAGAGATAGAGAAAGAGCGACGAGATAGTGACGACGTAACCGTTACGCCCAAGTGCAGGCCAACAGCCGCCAGTGCATTTGCCAATTTGCCCCATTTTGTGTGTCCGACTGAGCGTGAGTCAGTGAGTGAGCGGGGGGAGTGAGTGAGTGAGTGTGGCGAGTGTGCCAAGTGAGTGTGTGAGTCCCAGTGAGTGCTTCGATCTGACTCGTTCCAATGCGGCCCACCGTGGAGGACCGGGGTCGCCTGCTGATGACCCTGCTGCTGCACTGTCTGCTGGCCATGCAGGTGTTCGGCCGGGCAGGTGCCTTCACCCTGCTCTCGCCCTTCAGCTACACCTCGCTGACGTTCAAGAATCTTCTCAACTCGGTGCTGTTGTCGAGCAATGCCAACCTGGCAGGCGGAGGACGTAACCTCAAGTCGGATGTCCTTGAAGATGCCTCACTTATAACGGTGAGTTTGGGGTAGAAAGAGAAATGAGATCAAGGATAGTTAAGGGGGGATTTTGATTGAATTCATAACGTTTCCCCCTATTATTCATGTATCATCGTGTCCCCCAAGTCGGTCAAATATTTCCGCTTGACTTCCCCCCTTTTGGGCATTCACAGAGGTTTATCTAACAGTTTTTACTTGATTTCTGTTTGGGTTTTTCGCTTTGTTATAGTTAAGGTTTTCTTAACGAACAATCATTTGTAGTTCTGGTATTTATTTTTGTCGGATTCTTTTGCTTGTGTGTCAAATGAATTTACACTATTCAATAGAAGACTCGAAAAGAAAGTCCCATCGTCTAGTGAAAAGTGTAAATTTTCGTTCTGAGAGTTCATTGACCAAGAACCATTTAGAGCTTTGATTTGAGTTACCTGCGGAGGGGTAATGGTCACCTGTCGTGTTCAACTGCAGTTGGAATTGCAATTGGAAGTGTGTTTTGGTAAGCAAGTGGAGAGAGTGGAGAGTGGAGAGTGGAGAGTGTAAGTGTGGTCGTAACTCGTGAAAATTTCGTTGCCTTTTTATGGCGTTAATCATGTCTAACTTCGGCGAATGAGTTAACTCGCGCGTACGTAACGGCTGGATTAATTTCTTAAGCTGAGGCTAATTAAAAGATTTATGAGCATTGTATTGCATTGCCGCTGGTGTTAAATAACACTTGAGGTGTTGGAGTCTCTTAGCCTTATCTAAGTCAAAGAACGATCAAGAGTGCAATCATTAACGCCTCCGAGAAATCCATACAGGTTTTCGAATTTATTTATTTGTTTAGTGCTTTTAAGCCAACACTTACAGCAAAACAAAAGGGTTAGCCTTCGATGGAAAATGTATCGGATACGAAATAAGCATTTTATGGTCGAAAACGAGTGCTTTTTTAGAATTCATAGCCACGTTTCGTTGGACAATGACCTTGCGCCCATTTACAAAGCTTAGTTGTTACGTTTCCATCAATTAGATCAACATTTTCATTAGGCTTAAGCACGTTCCAGGGGTTTTCCCTGGGTTTCCCTGAAGGCCAGAAAATTTGCATGTTACCTAAAAGGTTGAAAAGTAGTTTCACAAAGCCCATCTAGTAAGATCAGTAACCAAATAAAGCTAAAGATTACCCAATATTTCGGGAGAAGTCAACAAACAGTTTGCGGTGAAAATGAGTAGAGCCAATAGAGCCAGGTTAAGAGCCGGTGGCAAAAGAGTTATTAACATGTGTACGAGTACACATTGGCGACGTAACGTAACGTATTTATGCGATTTACGTGATTCGCTTTATTGCGCAGACCCCAGAAACTAATAAAGGGTGCACACACAGGTATACCCTGTCTTTTGTCAACTGCTCAAAGTGGATCTTATGCAAAGTCACGGCTGGGCTTACTACACCGCGTGTCTGCTCGGAATAAAACACCAAAACGCCTCTCCGTAATTTCTGCACGTTGCCAAATTGCATAATGGTAGGGCCTGATAGATACACAGATATCATATATACACTATTTCTCTCTGGGGGGAGACACCTTTAACGGTGGCGAGCACAATAACAAATTGAAATTGTCAACGCAACACAATAATCAACGTGCAATTAGCCTGGGTCCCTCCAGTCCACGTCCAGCGCTTGACTGACTTTGAAATATGGGTTAGCAGTCGGAGTTGGCTCTGGGCCATCCCCATCCTCCATCGTCCTCCCTCCCACCCAAAATGTCAACGAGGAAGGCCCGCAGTTATCCCCGATAATCAGGAAATAACATAGTTGCAACTCTTGGCTCAACGCTCCATTTTCCCCCATTGTTTTTTGCATACAAAAAAAAAAGGTTTCGGGTTTTTGCCTTAATTTGAATTTAAAGATTTCCGCATTGCCGGAGCTGCCAAAGACTGGCAAATGGATGTCGTTGGGAGTGATTATGTCGAGGTGTTGTAACTAAACTTGAGGAAAATGTGTCCAAGTTCAGGAACCTCTCAATGGATTATAAATTTTCACAAGTTCCTGTAAGCAATTCTTAAAGAATATGTAGAATATGTAAATCAATCACCAAGTTAATTATCGTTTTAAATATTATTTTTAATCAAACGGTAATCAAATTCTAGAAACCCTAATCGATGCATAATTATCTCTAGTCTCTGCTCCACTTGATTCCAAAGAGTTCAAATGTGATTAACCTCTAAGATTTTAATGCCATTAAAACGATGTCAGTCGGCGGCCCAGAAAATGCAGCCGAAGAAGACCTGACATCAAATGAGAGGGGAGGATGGATGAATGGATGAAGAAAAACCAGTTGGGGTCGATGATGCGCTGACATCGAGACGCTTCGAACGGCAATCATTATAATGAGAGAGAAGAGTGATAAAAGCCAAGTCAATATCAAGGTCAGTTACAAAATGAGCGGTGGTCTCCAACTTGAATATATATCGACACTGAGCCCCATCCATCCGACTCGGACTTGGACTTGGGCTCCTCCAAAAAGGTAAATCCGCTGACAAGCTCACCTCAAGTTCGAGCATCAAAAGTGTTTTATGCAAATGTTTCAAATAAAGGCGCGCCGAAAGCAACAGCAGACCCTCCAAGCGTTGACACCAAAAATTTGCATTGAATTCACAAAAGCAAACGAAAACATGGAAGTCCATGTACCATGCAACACTGGATGTACAGTGGCTATTTCTTACGCTAATTCATATTGTAAAACTTCATAAATTTCGATAATTTTAAAAAGAATGATATAGAGGAGAATAAAATTAATAGGTATAACACATTGGATATTGAAGAAACTCCTTAGAAATTAACAATGTCCAAATTACGACACTTGCAGGGTATTATAGTTTCAGTCAGAAGCTTAAAACTAAGTGAAAGAGTCATTTACGACCCTATAAATCATATATATTCTTGATCAGGATAAAAAGCAGAATCGATCTACATATGTTTGGTGGAAAAATAAATTTTTAAAATATTTTCAATTTTTAAAGGGGTTATCGTTAAAATTGTCTAATAAAATTTAACAAAAAAATTTAATTTTTTTGAATTTTTATTTGAGTATACAGATTTATTAACCCCATAAAAACTCACCTAAGACAGCTTTCCGATTTAAAATGAGTGCTTTTTTGGCTTAGTTATAAGTTATTTAAGTCTTTGATTTGTTAAAAAAAAAGTCATAAAAAATGCTCATAAAATATTGATTAAAAAATGTTCCTTGCAGCAAGTACCCACTGTACACGCAACATTGCCAATTAGCGTGGACACAAACCGGAGGCAGGCAAACAAACGAAAAATTAGTGGGTCATGATGAGCGATATGATAATCGCGCCCCAAGACTACTTTATAGGTGCTAATAAAGTTTTGGCGGCTTCTTTTTTTCGGCCATAAGCGAACGCATAAGTTCACTTAGCGAAACCGTAAAAATATATGAATATAGAAACAGCAAAAATGAATAATAATAAAAATAAGACAGACAATCCATTTTTCGCATTGGCCCAGGTCGAAAAATCACAACAGTTGTACATTTACTTTTTCTACCGGTCGCTGCTGGCTTTGCCACCGCCTCTCCTCCCCTCCCTACACTCCCCTCATTTATTTAATTATAGATTTTCCAACATTTGCGCGCATTGTTTGCAGCCGGCAATTTATTTGATTTATTCACTGCGCCTGTGCCTGGTCTTTGTATTTAAATTGGCGTTAAAACAAACAATTCAAATATTTGTGCAATATTCGTTGGTCCAGCGTTGCTTTTTGTCTTATTATTAGTTTACACAATAAATGAGTTTATTTAGGTTTTCCACATGATTGCCGCTGGAATCGGATAAAACCTTAAAATATTCAATTAAATAAAGAGGCATTATAAACCAGAGTTTATTATTTTATTTTTAAGAAGGAAGTTTGATAAATTTTTGGTGCAATTTGTGTGGATTGTTTTCTTGCTGTTTTAGGTAAAGATATTTTTCTTGTCTGAAGATAAATATTGCTGAATTTTTTTATTGCTGCCCATTTACGTGAATTTCCAAACCTTTTTTTAAGATTGGCCAACATGGTTGAGGCGGGCGGGAAAATCCATCTGCCGGCCCGCACTTTGTTGCATTTTGCACGTCTTTGCAACGCCTTCCTGCCAAGCTCTGTGCTAATATTGGCCCGGCCTGTTGTTTCGCAAAAATGTGTGTCAAGCCAAGGAAAACAAAAAACTTCACCGAGTAGCATCGCCATCGCCAGCGGCATCGGCATCGGCATCTCCTCCAGCAGCTGTTGCAACCTTTCGGGGCTTGGCCAAGTCACTTTCTGCGCCGGCTTCTTCGCACCTCGTTCGCTCGCTGGCTCATTTATTCTTTTTAAGCTTCGAACAAAGACATTATGCAACAGTTAAACAGGCAAGGAAATTGCCAAAAAAAAATATATACATTCGGGTAAATAAAAACAAACCAAATTTATGCTCAAACATTTGGCAAAAATCGGCCGAAAAGAGAGCAGGAAAAAGAGACTTGACTGCCTTACTTTGCGTACCACTTCCTCGTGTTGTCCAACCAGCCGGCAAAGTCAGTTGGCCAATTGCAGTGTTTATATTATTTTTACTTTTGTTTCTTTTGTATTTTTTGGGCCATTCGCTGCCAAGGTTAATTAAAATGCCAGCCAGCAGCTCACAGAGAGTCGAGTCTCTGGCGGCTTATGTTTTTATTTTGTTTGTGAGCTTAAGTAATCGCGTGTTTATAACTTAACTTCTGCAATTGTATTATGAGTTTTTCTCTTTTTTGTATTTTTGTATATTTTTTTTTGGGCACCCACTACCCCATTACATAACAAAACTTATCAAAAGTATCACGGATTTTGGTTAAAACCTATAAGCAGGAAGAAAAGTATGCTGTCATACAGTGCGTATGCGTGATACGTGACTGGGTTAAACTATGGGGATGTACTTATAAAGGTAGTTCCAATAAAGCGTCTCTCCATGATCATCATTCTTGAGAATAGTTTTCAGCAGTGTCAATAATAACATTCTTTATATATATATATAAATATATATATCTTACGACCGCCAGAATAATTTCATTATTCAAAGCCCAGCCAGGCACACAGCAATTTGCTCGTAGACCGCAACAGCTTGGCGACTGGCAACTTTATTAACTTGTTGATGCCACAAATTAAAATTCATTAGTTCCAAATGACTGTGGTTAAGGCCCAGACGGAGTGACTCCTTGACGATGACGTCCCCAGTGGATTCCCAGGGGGTTTTTTTTCCACCTGCTCTGACACCCAACTAAACTATGCAAATTGAAGAGCTGTGAGAGCAGGTGGAAAAAAAGAAAGATGAAATAAACCTCGACCAAGGCAACTCAATTTCACACTGCCATGATTTGCACTTCTAACACCTTTCTCTCCTGGATTTCTTTCCGGTTTTTCCTGCCCTCTCGTTCAGCCCAAATTAATACGCAAATACGGCTATCCATCGGAGACGCACACGGTGGTGACGAAGGATGGCTATATCCTGGAAATGCATCGCATTCCCAAGAAGGGAGCCCAACCGGTGCTCCTGATGCATGGGATCCTGGATACCTCGGCCACGTGGGTGCTGATGGGTCCCAAGTCTGGATTGGGTAAGTCTCAGGAGAGTTTACAGCAAATTGAGATTTATATAACATGTAAAAGAGGCTTTAATTCTGTAAATCCTACCATCCCTTCCAGGCTACATGCTCTCCGATCTCGGCTATGACGTTTGGATGGGCAACTCCCGGGGCAATCGCTACTCCAAGAACCACACCAGCCTGAACAGTGACTACCAGGAGTTTTGGGACTTCACCTTCCACGAGATGGGCAAGTACGATCTGCCAGCAAACATCGACTATATCCTGAGCAAGACCGGCTACGAGCAGGTGCATTATATTGGCCACTCGCAGGGCACGGCCATATTTTGGGTTCTGTGCTCCGAGCAGCCGGCTTACACCCAAAAGATCACCTCGATGCACGCCTTGGCCCCCATTGCCTATATCCACGACATGAAGAGCCCCCTGTTTCGAACACTTGTGCTGTTCCTCGATTTCCTCACGGTGAGTTTCCGTTTCACATTTCACATTTTGCATTTTCCATTTTCCATTTCCAAATTCGTGTTCAACCCCGTTCTCATTCTCATGGCAGGCGGCCACACGAATGCTGCGCATCACGGAATTCATGCCCAACACCAAATTCCTAGTGGACCACAGTCAGGTTGTGTGCCACGACAACGCCATGACGCAGGATGTCTGCTCCAATATCCTGTTTTTGGTCGCCGGCTACAATTCTGAACAGTTGAACAAAGTAAGAGAGAAGTGCACTGGGAAAAATTAATGGGGGGATTAAGAGTTAGTTAAATTTATGTTCCCCAAAATGGAGTATATAGTAAGTATTAAAGCACTCTTCAATTTTAGTAGGCTTTCCTAGTAGGTATTTCCCTTATTTAATCCAAATCAATGTTCTTTTGTAAAGATTTTTCCCTCTGTATAGTATGTGTGCATAGGAAAAGGGAAAACAAGGCCTGGAATTGCATTTTCATTGTGCTTTGGCCACGATTTCGCGTGACTTGCAGGCACGCTGAGAGGCATCGATTTGGGTTTTTTGGGGGAATCCCTGTCCTCGGGCTGTTCTTCCCATGGTTTTCATTAAGTTGGCACTTAATTAAGCCACCTCAACTCGTTGCCAATTGGGTTTACACTTCGACATGTCACTCCCAATCAAGTGTGGGCAATGTTTTAAAATTTAACTAAACTCGAAACACATTAGTTTTGCACTAACTCGCGGCCCAAAATGCAAATTTACACACAATTGTAGTGGCAGTAATGTGGTTACGGCAATTATCGATGGCCTGCAGGTAATTCCCTCTATTGGACACACACACACACCATCTTAATGCCACGATGTTTGCATTAAATAAGCTCAATGCCCTGGCAAAACTTTAGGCCGATAATCGGCCGCAAGCTAAACACCCGCAGATTCAAAATTATGGCCCACAAAATGCGGCGGCTTAAATTACTCGAACCGCATGCAGGCGGCACCGAGACCCCTTTGAACCCCGACATTGAAAAGGGTGTCATTATCCATTATGTCAACGGCCGGCCAAGAGTGGGCGTGGGATTGTCTTCGTGTTGTCCTCGCCGGCGATGTTTGAAATTGGCATAATTAACCGCCACAAATGCTTGGATGGCAGGGATGCTGGGATGCTGGGATGCCGACAGAGCCTGGCTGCCAGAGATGGCCGACAACAAGCGACAATGCATGCAAATTAGGCGCGATTCTGTGACCCAACATGGACCTGGACCTCGAACCCACACCGTTACCTTGCCCTTTATCAGTAATTTAGCTCGATATAGCCATGTATGGGACACAGGGAACATGGTTTGGCGTTGTTACATTGTGTCCAGGTGTAACAGGCAGAATTTCGGACCATGCACTGGGGAAAATCAGGAGACTAATAACAAACGAAATTAGTTAATAAATAAGAAGATTTTCAGCTTTTTGATAGTTATAAATATAATTACTTACAGACCATGCTGCCTGTGATGCTTAGCCACACACCCTCGGGTGCCTCCATCAAGCAGCTGGAGCACTTTGGCCAATTGATGAAATCGGGACACTTTCGGAAGTTCGACCGGGGATACCTGCGCAACCAGCTGGAGTACAACAGGATGACGCCGCCAGACTATGACCTGTCCCGGGTCAAGGTTCCTGTGGCTCTGTACTATTCCGTGAATGATTTGCTTGTATCCACCACTGGCGTTGATCGGTTGGCCCGGGAGCTGCCGAATGTGATCGATAAGTACCTGGTGCCCATGGAGCGTTTCAATCACTTGGACTTCCTCTGGGCCATCGATGTGAAGCCGCTGGTGTACAATCGCTTGGTGCGCAATGTACGACGCATGGAGAACCATCGGACCAAGTTAACAGCCAATTTGGCCAGCTATTTGGCCATGCAGCTGCAGCATCAGCATCTTCGCCAGCAGATGATGCAGCAGCAGATGAGGGACGGCCGGCTGCCGCCTAATGTGCACTTGCCACACGGATTGGGCATGGAACTGGTCTCCATGAGCACCTTGCCTCCCGCCACACCACCGCCAACGACAACAACAGGAGAACCGAGGGATGACGACGACGACGAGGAGGTCCTGACCACCACCAGCAGCAGCTACAGCAGCCCAACCACGGAGATTCCAACGGAGACGTGACTTTGACCAAGCCCTTTTCGTTCCAATTTCATATGACTGTGATGACATTTTTTAACAATTTACCGATCGCAGCATCGCCAGGAGGCAGGGAGACCTCCAGGTCAGGTGCAATCTCTCAGGCGCAAATCCATATCCATGCATCCAACTACCATCCTTCCACACACACAAATACACACAGAGCCGCTCTTGTTTTCCACCAGAATTTTTTGATTCGTTTTCTGTGCTACCCTAAAACACTTTAATTTATGTGTACAAATTTACGAGTAATTTTAAAAGTACGTTTATGTTTAATAAAAGAGATATTTTAAGGATAAAAATACGAGTTTTTATGTTACTAAAATTAAAAAATGGATGGAACAAGGAGAGAGTTAAGGGATAGTGTCATTCAAAAGCTTGAAACTCGGTGAAGGAATCGTTTCCGGCCTTATAAATCATATATATTCTTGATCAGTATGAACAGCCAAGTCGATCTAGCTATGTCTGGTTAAAAAAAAAAATTTTGAATTTTTTTTCACTTTTTGCCCCGAAAAAGTTACATTATCACAACTGCCAAAAATTGACAAAAATTTGGATTTCTTTTAAATTAAATTTGAGTATGCAGAATTAATATTATTATAAAAACTAACATAGGACAGCTTTCGGAATTTAAATTAGGACCTTTTTGGTCAAGTTATGAGATTTTAAACATTTTATTTGTAGGCAAAATTGTCATATAAAATATAGATAAATATCGACTCAAAGAATTGTCAGTCAGAAGCTTTAAACTAAGTGAAGGAGTCATTTCCGACCCTATAAATCATATATATTCTTGATCAGCATCAAAAGCTGAATCGATCTAGGTATGTCCGGGTAAAATAGATTTTTTTCAAAATTTTAAAAATTTTATTAGGGTTTACAATGTTAAAATTGTCAAAATTTGACAAAAACTGACAAAATTTTAAATTGTTAATTTAAAATGTAGATTTGTTATTCTAAGAAATACTTACACAACAAGCTTTCCGAATTGAAATTAATGCATTTTTTGCTGAGTTATGAATAATTTTCAAATCGACTTGGACTTCCCGAAATGAGTTCCTCTTTTTATTTAATAAGATTTTTATACCCTTGCAGGGTATTATAATTTCAGTCAGAAGTTTGCAACGCAGTGAAGGAGGCACCTCCGACCATATAAAGTATATATATTCTTGATCAGGATCAACAGCCGAGTCGATCTAGCCATGTCCGTCTGTCCGTCTGTCCGTCTGTCCGTCTGTCCGTCTGCCCGTTTCTACGCAAACTAGTCTCTCAGTTTTGAAGCTATCTGAATGAAACTTTGTAGTTAGCCTTCTATATACTCTCACTCATATATATGTCGGAACGGGCCGGATCGGACGACTATGTCATATAGCTGCCATAGGAATGATCGGAAAATTTTTACAAAAAAAATTTTAACATTTTCAGTTTTCAATAGAATTGGATCAAATTTGAGATATAGCCATTTTCCTATACTCTACAATTTTGCATAAAATTTTATGAAAATCGGACTACTATATCATATAGCTCCCATAGGAACGATAGAGAAATTAATACAATTAAAAATTATAACTTTTTCAGTTTTCAACAGATTTTCATCAAATTTGAGGTGTAGCCATTTTATATTAGTCTTAAATTTTGTGTCAAATTTCATGAAAATCGGACGACTATATCATATAGGTGCCATACAAACTATTGTTTGATGTAGAAGAAAAATGGAAATCTGTGAACGAAAAGCTGCAAATATAATATGTATAGGTGAATGAAATGAAAGCAGGTATTACTTCATTGTTTTTTAACACAAATATATATAATTTATATTGTATGGATTCCTAGTCATAGAATTTCTATCTGCAAGGGTATATAAACTTCGGCGTGCCGAAGTTAGCTTCCTTTCTTGTTTATTTATTTATTTATTTATTTATTTTATTCGAGTTGAAAGACAACTTCGCGTATTTCTCATATATTACACATACGACATGTATACTGCACTCTGTGTGGAACCGCCAGCGATGAAAAGTATGCAACATATTTTTTCTTATTTATTTTCCGGCACCCATTTCCATGCTATGACTTTTATCGATTACATCGGTTTTATATGAATTTAATTAAAGAACAAATACAAATTTTCCAGTAGAAAAAGCACAGCGAACTCAACCTCAGAAATGACCAAAAAGCAATGGGTCCTGGGAGAATGTATATTGGGAGAAAAGCCGGCTGCAGGCAGCAAACAGCACCAACGCTTAATTGCGACTTAAAACGCAACTCATTTCGACAGCCAGCGCGCGAAACTTTATCCTGGCCACAGCAGAAGTCGCAGCCACAGGGCCAAGACCTAGGTTACACTGATAAAAATGTAGACTAAATAAAAATAGTATAAATATTGATAAGCTAACTTAATTCAAATGATATAAGGGGGTTTTAAAGTACTTGTAAATACATATTCTTATACATATTCATTTATTCCTTTACTCAAACTGTAAATAACACTTCTTTTTCTTTATTGAAGAGATTATTTTCTCTGTTCCCAGACCTGGATCCGGGACTGAAAATGTCGCCTGCGGACCGCAGTTGTGCACTTGCAGCGACAACTTTAAGCCGCCTTCCCAATGAATTGCCTTCATTTGTCGTCGTTTGGCGTCTGGCAGCCGGGAGTCCCAAGTCCCGAGACCCGGGATCCAGGACCCAAGACCCGCGACCATCCACCGTCCAGGAGCAGCAGAAGAAATTGCAGCGTCTGTGACTGTAGGCAAACTTACCGCGCTCACTGTTGCTGAATAAACAGGCAAACACAAACACAGTGGGTGACAGCCGCAGAATGGGATTAAGGCAAGCCAGCATAAAAGTCGCAACTTTCAGGTGATATTACCTCTGGGCTGAATGAGACGACTGTTGCCGGCAGTCCGAGGGGAAATGAAAAATGCAGTTCCTGTCGGTGGCTGAGTTGTTGTCAACGCACTAATGTCGAATTGCTTCCGTTGCGAATAAACAAAATCAAAAGGAATAAATGAGACTTAAAGAGGCAGTATTTGTAGATATAATTTAATGCGAAAATATACATTATAGCTAAGATATTACATATATTTTTTAAAGAAGTTTTAAACAATGTTCCTACAGTGTGACATCACGCATACGCCAGGTGGTCCTTGTTTCATTTTGTTTATTCTAGCTGTCGATAGGGGGGAGTGATAAAAATAAAAGGAAAGAAAGAAATTAAATAACAAAAGCACAAACAGCAAAATAACAAAACATGCAGCCACAGATGCAGTAGCGCAACTGACACAAATTCAACTTTAATTAAAGTTTCGCCAGAGGATGCGTTGCCAGGAGAGGAGAAAGCACCTCTACTCTTGCACATTTTCCCCACTAAACTAAGCTAGATGGAAGCCCACATGTTTACACATTGCTTTTAACTAACTTTGACAGACTCCCAGGACCCCCCGACTCCCAGGACTTCCGCTTGGCTGTCATTTTTTGCTATGTTCGCTCCTATGTAGTTTCCCGTCTGCTTTCTGTTCTTCTTCATTTGCCTTTATGTGTAGTTGGAACAAGTGATTTGTTAAAGCCCCGCCCACATTATCCGCCTTCTTTGGGCTTTCCCCTTTGCCCACCGCCCGTTTTTCTTTTCCTCGTGTAAACAAGACATTAAGTACAACAAAATAATTAAAGTCAATTAGTGGCTCTTGCATTTTCTATCTCTCCTTCGGGTGTAGGTTATCCTCCTCCTTTAAGCTCTTAGCCAAGTTGGCTTTTGGCTCTCAGTTGTTGTTGATTTAGTTTTGGCTTATAATGGCATTGTCGGGCTCATTCAGTGGCTGTCATTAGCGTCACAGATGCAGACACACAAGCTCAGAGAGCATCGCCACATCATCATTTATTTAATAAACTTGTTCTAGTTACTGGCCTCTTCTTTCGTCTATTAATGCCCCAGTAAACTTGGCTTTAATTAAAGACAATTCTTAGAAAATGCAGGGATATAGTTTGTGGTTCTGTTTAAAGTAGTAACTATTATTTAGTCCTAAGACATTAAGTCCATTACTTAAGTTTCCTACAACCTGTCAAACTAGTAAGTGAATTAAATGCCATCTTCGACTGATGATATTTAAAGCTTAAAATTATTAAACATCACAATATAAAAATGTGATACTGCGGTGCTTAATTGGATTAACCACTGTCACAACAATGACCAACAATTAAGTGAAGCCTTTTAATTAAAGATTATTAAATGAATTCATACGTATTTCTGCAATCTCTTATATTCCGATTCGTTCTCTGATTGTATAATTGAATTTACAAAAAGACAATGCACAACTTTTCATTTGTATTGTATTTTATTTTACCATTTATACAATGATACATATATTTTTGTAATGCCTTTACAAAGTCCCCTTTATGAAGCTCGATTCCATTGTTTCGTTCTGCAATTGGAATTGAAAAATAAACAGAGTTGCAGAGTTTCGAGTTCCTTCAAACTGAAGAGCCATTTGAAACTCTACCGACTCTTTTGCAGAAATATAAAGCCTTCAAGGACCGCTCCATTGATTACAAAGTAATGAGCTTAAAACAATGGCAAATGGAAGTTCCAACCCATATTGATTGATTTTGAAGTAACTCACCCTCTCCACTTTCAATTGAAGTAATTTAGAAATAAACATTAGCATTTCGAATCGTAATCGTTAAGCAATAAAGTGCCACGCCCTTTGGACAAATTGCTGCCACAAGGGCGACACTTCAAAGTCCTCGAGGGCAAGTCCTTCGATGCGCAAAATTACATTTGATAAGGAAGCGAATTTGCATGCGAAATGTTGCCCTAATGATTTTCCAAAGCATTAAAAGCAACGGAGCCCAAATGTGGATGAGAGCTTATTTCACTCGGCATTTAAATTACATTTCTCTGAGGCCCAACTTTGATTCAAATTCTGCACAGCATGGGAAGGCACTTTAATAATAATGATTTCAAGTCATTTCCCTGCTCGGCCTCGGCTAATGACTTCTCCTTCGCTGGCCACAGGGCGTATGATTAATACTTTGTTTACACTTGAAGTAGCCCCAACGTCGAGCAAAATTGAATTCTCAATTCATCAGCCTTCCGAATTTTGCATAAATATTTCAGCCAAGTGCCGAGAGCCAGCCAGCACTCCTCCATCATCAGTTTAACAAACTAATTTGCTTGCCAAAAAGACTTTTTGTCGAGAGCGTTTTATAAGTCATATTTAAGTTGGCCGCCTGCCAAGTGGCAGCAGGCTTTGTGTCCGGCATTTTGATGGCAGGAGCTCCATTTAAGTGAGTGCCAGGAGTAGCAGCCTCTAATGATGTTATTGAAGTTGACTGAAGGTGTGCGAGACCAGCAGGACACGGAGTAGCAACAAAAACCAATCATTAGATAAATCATATAGCCAGAGCCAAGAGGGTTTCGTTTAATGATTTCACAGCTAAATATTTACGCTGAACTAGGCAGAAAGTTGGGACATGGACATACCGTGGTTGTAGTTCTATTATATTTCATTTTAGGGAAAATATATAAATAAATAAGGGAAGCTGTATTAACCATGTCCCACTGTGGTTCAATAAAGGCCAGTTCATTGTTATGGCCCATCGTAGTTGTCAGTTGTGGTAGTAGTTATGGTCGTTATGGCCTTCTCATTGGTGGTGTGATGTTAAGATGCCCGACAACGTCCCAAAGACATTTTCTGTTGAGTTGACAGAAAACTTGTCCTTATGGTCAACCATATTTATGTTGTTGTTCAAGTTTTTGTCGCTAAACGAGAGTTTTGTGCTCGCTTTTCTGGCTCGATAAGAACTAATTATGAAAGTTCTTACACAATTGTAGCAGTTTTTAGGGAATTTATGCGACATTGCCACCGGAAAGATTCAAGGAATGCGAGGAAATATATATTAAAATTTCAAATGAAATTGGTTTGCCAATGTTAGCTCTGGAGCTGACTCAACTCAACTTATGGCATAACTTTGTTTCTTTGGAAAATGTCAAACACTCACAAAAATAAGCAAGTTTCATCAGTCACAAAGAAATGGTTTAAGGTCACCAACTCGAAGCTATATTTATTTATGAGAACAATCAAAGCTTTACTATAGTATATTTCATAAATTCCTTAAAGTCTACCGGAAATAGAACCGGGGATTAGTGCTGCTCTGGGCAATAAATTATTAAACTGGACCTAGAACTGGAACTAAGCTTAGTTTAGACTTTACGGCGAACATGAATCTTACTAATAATATTTATAAATATATATATTTTCAGGTTTTACTCTAAAAACTTTGTTTAAAATCAATTACTTTCCTTGGAAATATATCAAAAGCGTTCTAGTTCCCTTGATTGAATTTCTTTAGACGAAAACAAACTCATTGCTGTGACGGTTCTCCACTTACGGAATCAATTTCTGGAAAACTACCATGCTTACATGTTTATATTCACAAGAAACCTGGAGTTTATTTTAAAGCTGCAATATTTCCACTCAATTACTGCAATCACTCAGCCGGTTAACAGACACCCTTTCTGGCCAAGACAATGGACCAATTGATTCTGATCGAATTAAGTTAATGTTTAACAGACTTCGACACGAGAGCGTTGAATAACCGCGAATTATGAGAGGCCATCGAGTTGTAATCCACTAATTGCCATACCAGAAAGCCGGTTTGGTGCTCCGGGCCAAACTGAAACCAAAAGCAAAAACCAATATCAGAGGTGAGCACAGGTGAGTGCGTTGAAAGTGAAATTGAAATTGAACTGGAGAGGGGGAAGTGCCATTTAAAAAGATGTTTCTGGGCCAAGTGCGCGTCGTCTGCCTGCACCTGTACTTCATCCGAACCCGAAACCGAGACCGAGGAGCAGCTGCCGGCGCAGCTGAGCCATGGAAGTCGAAGACCAGACCGGGAACAGTTTCCATTTCAAACGCCTTAAAAGCTTGAGCCGGAGCTGCAAACGGTTTAGTTCCTCGCCGCAAACAAAACTAGTCACAACAAACGTGGAGCGGAAGCCAGCAGCCTCGAGTGTGTGTGAACCAGTTGTGATCCCCAGTGACATATCCGTAAAGGTAGAGATCACTGGAAAAAAATACAAGGCTTATTAAGAGTGCTTTAAATAACTGAAAAGTAAATTCTTAAAATATATATTCAAGTGTACAATTGAAAAGAAGTAAACATAAAATATGAAAAGACTCTGGTGATCATTTAAAATTTTCTTTGAGTGACTTTCTTATGCTACTTAAGAGTTTTTATTATAAAGCGTTAACCAATTTACAGACTTTAAATTTAAAATACTAAAATATATAGCTAACTGTGAATACTGTGAAACTTGGCCATAAAAGTGCATTAAACATATGCAAGTTCTACCTATAATACGCTTTAAACTCAAGTACGCTTTAAACACTCCTAGTTAAATAATTCCTATTAAATAACATTAAAACATTTATTTATTTTTTTATCTGCAGAAATAGAGATATTCAGAGAGAAAGAGAGCAAAGCTGGTCTGAAAAAAAAGCTTTTCGAGACAGGAGCAAGTTTTATAGTGAGCCAAAGTGAACGTAGCTCTCGGCGTGTGGAAATCATACACACACTCAGTTGATTCATTGCCACCAAGCCACTGAACCGCCTCGCATTCCGCGAATACCCGAAAAAACCAGCAAGTCCACCGCAAAATGCTACGATCCCTAACCTTACCACCGCTGCTGTTGGTGATGATGATGATGATGTCTTTGACCATAGATGCGAGGAGTGTTAAAATAAAGATCTCCACAACTGAGGAGCCTGTGGAGGACACTACTTACATGCGACTGCCGGATGGTACCATCACAGTTGACATCGATTCGGACTTGATACTGACCACCAGTCCTGAGGGTGAGACGTTTAGCGAGGCCAGTCCTTTAGAGCTGACCGAGGAACCGCTGCCCGATTCGGTGATCCAGCAACTGGAGAGGGAACGGGCCCAGGAGGAGCGGGCACGTAATCCCATTGACACGGAATCGGAAACGGAAGCGGAAACTGAGGAAACAACTACCGAAAGAAGAAGAACCACCAAAAAGAGTCATAGGTTTGGAGCTGGCACCTCAATGCCAATGGGTTTCAGTTCGTTCCCCACCATGAAGCCGGAATATATTACCACCGAAAACACCCAGGGCACCACTCAGTATCAGGAGATGGCAACCCCAAAGAATTACTTTAAACGCTGGCCAGCCAATGTGGATAAGGGTGGTGATATGGAAATGGCCGAGAACCGAATGGAAACCACCACAATGGATGCACTGACATTTCAGGACGAGAAGCAGGACTATGTGACCACTCCAGTGATGATCATGACAACGGAGGGCAATTTATTGGGTGAGCGGGTTACATACCCCACCAAAGCTGAGACTGTCACCACCCAGTCACCGCTCTTCCGGTTCTTCACTACTACCTCTGCAAAACCCCTGGTTACGGAGACACAGCCAGAGACAACAACAATGTGGCCAGAAACCAAGGAAGAAGCCACTACAATGCCTGTCTTAATGGAGAGCACAGGTAAGAATCTTTGGTAATAACTCTCTTTAATCAATAACATTTCTTCTATTTTATAAAAAAAAAATCCAGAAACTATCACTGAGAGAGCGGAAACCACCACAGCCACCACAGCCACAGAGCCGGAACCACTGACTGCCAGAATGGAACTATATCTGAATGCCGCCTTGGAGAGCACATCAACAACCACGACCTCATCAACGAGTGCTCCTGAAGCCACAACAGTTCCAGAGACCACAACCTTAAGTATAGGTATTCCAGAGACCACGACATCTACTACGAGTGCTCCGGAAACCACGACAACTACTCAGAGTGCTCCGGAAACCACGACAACTACTCAGAGTGCTCTGGAGACCACAACATCGACGTCCAGTGCTCCAGAGACCGCGACATCAACTACAAGTGCTCTGGAGACCACGACTTCTACTACGAGTGCTCCAGAGACCACAACATCGACGTCCAGTGCTCCGGAGACCACGACCTCGACTACGAATGCTCCTGAGACTACCAGAGCTCCGGAGACCACGACTTCGACGACCAGTGCTCCGGAGACTTCAAGGACTCCCGAGACCACAACTTCGACGACCAGAGCTCCGGAGACCACGACTTCGACGACCAGTGCTCCGGAGACTTCAAGGACTCCCGAGACCACAACTTCGACAACCAGCGCTCCGGAGCCGACAATATCGACGACCAGTGCTCCGGAGGTTTCCACGACATCGACTACTACCACTCCATTGACCACAATTCCATCAACCAGAGCTCCTGAAACCACAACCACAACCACAACCACAACGCCTCGCCCCATTCTGACGCGTGCTCCCCGCGTGGAGCGGATCTTCAACTCGGACGGTGTGGAGGTGCTCTACGGCTACTCCTCGGTGGTGCGGACGAACCGCTCTTGATCTGGAGCTGGGGCCCGGTAAGGCCATCGAGAACACGACCTTGCCAAGGTCGGACAACTTGCCATAATGCGGAGACGGTGACAAAAGAGACATTGAGCGATGGAAGCGCGCGCATTCATTTTAGGCAATTTTCAATTCTAAACAAGTTTTAAGCGAAGAAAAAAAATTATATATATTTAAATTTCAATCGGCGGGACCAAGCACAGTGTTGTTGTGATAAACCAAAAAATACATGAAAAATCCGCAAAAGAGAGAAAGAGAGAGAAGTGAAACAAAAAACAAATATGTAATATTATTGTGCAAAAAATTGTGTACACAAAATGAGGGGAAGAGAAGAAATGCTGGAGACGAACGATTTTATAAATTATAAATAAAACATGAACCACCCATGATGTTTGCTTTGTGGTTTTGGATTACACAAAAGCGTTTAGTAGGTCTTTTTGTTGATCCAAAATTATGACACAATAATGGAACCGAACCGGCAAAGTATAAATACCCTGAAATTAATAAGCGGAAGTGCAACTAAATACAAAAATATTTTAAGGCACTTATTGGGAGTTTAATTACCTTTTTCTCTAATATTTTTTTTATTGGAAACTCACTTCCCTGAAGAGCATTCTGCCCTGCACTGCAGTCACCACTCTTTTCCCAATCTTTGCTTGATTATGATTCATTTTGTAGATCATTAAAGCAGCGCACCCAAGAAATCAAGAAAGCAACCCACAAGACCCGATCACTGCCCACCTGCGTTCAAAAAAATCATACAAAACAAATACACTAAAAACTGAAAACTGAAAAACTGAAAACTAAAAAACCGGCAATCGTCTCAAGAGTTGTCGTCATACATTTTTGGGCTTTTATGTTCCGGCATGAACGCAGACAACCAGACAACCGGACGATGGATGGACACGTGGACCGGATCGGTTTGGTTTCGCTGGTCCATTGGCAGATTATTCATTCATCGATCGATTTTGCAGGGACAGGGTTTTGGCTCTTGGCTTTAGCAATGAGTATCACGTTGAGCTCCGCCTTACTCTCGCTGGAATTTGAAAGCATTCGGCGGATCATAAAACAAACACTAGCCACTAATTTCCATTTGAACTTGAGCGGCACAGGCGCTAAACTGCATGTTGAATGTGAATCGAATGAATGTGGATTGAAGGTTTTGGCAATACGGGTTTTTTTTCTGTATTTTTGTATTTTTCGGCTGGTTATTGCCTTACCCATTTAGCCAGCTGACTCGCTTTGGGCCATGGATCCAAAGCTGGTTGTACATGGCTAAGAGGGTTAGTCATCTTCGAAAGAGTTTGCGGGAAATGCCAGGAAAAATATCGGAACTTTGACTAGAGCTAATGATGATTAAACAAACATATATAGAATTTCATATAGAAAAACATCATTACAAACCTATTAATATCATTAATAATGTTTTTAAAAAAAATAAGTTGCACATAGGAAAATGATTTTCATTATAAATTAAAAATAAAAAAAACCTTCAGGAACATAGCTCAATTTGAAAATTAAAAACTAAATTATTCGAAAAAAAGGAATTAATTTATTTAAAAGTGTCTTAGTCCTAGGATTTAGTTAATTTTTACATGAATTATAACTTTTGAAATACTTTCCCAAACAAAATTAACAAAAAACTCATCCAAGTTATTGAAAAAAATCCAAAAGACAAGCTTTTTTCACTCCGTAAAATAATAACTAATCTCCCAAAACTATGCTAATATTTCCTATTTCTCCCAATACGTAGTCTTGCTTATCTTCCTTTTTTTAATGAAATGCATTTCTACTTTTTAGCTGGCCAAACGCCTTTATAAATTATATAATTCGATGACAAGTCACCCAGGGACATCCCAAAAAACACACAATAAGATATAAAAAAGAAACGAAAATCTATTAAGCAGGATTTGTTTCACGTAATTATTATATTTGTTTTGCAAATTAGCATAGAAAATAAAATTATTCAAAAGCTAAGCCACCTGATTGGTGAAAACAAGTTCTATATTTCATAATGTTATTTAATAAGACATTTTGAGCATGAGAGAAATTGAGAATTACCTGTATTGGGAGCAATTAATGATACAATTTGCATTTTGCCAGACGGCAATTAACCAAATTATCGAAACTCCCATAAACAAAGGCGAAAACAAGTCGCAAATTCTGGATATAAAAGCCACCTGCCTTCTCTCAGATGGCACAACAAACACTCATCATGAAGATCTTAGCACAGTGCTCAATCATGATCATCGCCCTGGTGGTTGTCCAGGCGAATCCTGGCGGCTTTGGAGGTGGTAGAGGCTTCAGAGGTGGTGGAGCTGGAAGTAGTGCAAGTGCTTCTGCCGTTGCTAATGCCAATGCCTACGGTCAAGGCGGTGGCGGTGCCTACGGACCTCATGGTGGTGGCGGTGCCTACGGACCTCATGGTGGTGGCGGTGCCTATGGACCTCATGGTGGTGGCGGTGCCTATGGACCTCATGGTGGTGGCGGTGCCTATGGACCTCATGGTGGTGGCGGTGCCTACGGACCTAATCTCTACGGTGGCAACGCAGCCGCCAACGCTCAGGCCAATGCTGTTGCTTCAGCCATCGGTAAATAACATAGGTAATCCTGTACCTGAATCGAAATCCGAGGATATCCAGTTTGAAGTCCAAGCCTGCGGCGTATTAAAAATAAAAAAAAACAAACTGCCTTCTAATAAAAACTCTTTTTTCATAAAAACAATTGTCTTTAATATTATATAAATTTAATAGATGGGTTGGAAAAAGGGTTTCATTCAAAATTCGTCAAAAATATCGTGCTCAAAAATGTATTGAAAATAGCGGAGGATTTTCATTTACTAATATTAATAAAATATTGTATTTAACATTGTTATCAATATATATAGGGAAAATGTTGTATTTATCTGTCTATTATTATTATAATATTAGTTGGATACGTAATGTAAATTTATTTCAAATATGTGCAAGTATCATACCATTAAAATATCTATGTTTATTACGATTTTCCATCCATCGTAAAAAATAACAATTTAAGAAACGCAAACTTTGATGTTTTGGACACTATATGAAAGGTACACTTATATGTTATATCCAATAAATACATTTTAATTTATTTGTTTTAATAACAATATTCTCTGGTTCAACCTTTTACTAAATTATAAAAAATTGTATTTGTTTGTTCTCTTAGTTTTTTGAAATAAAAAACAACAAAAACGTAAATGATATAACGCAAAATAAGTTTTTCACTTAATTAATTACATTTTTATAATAATCTAAGTAATTGCTTTGTTACAGAGTCTGATATTATCCGTTATCAGTTAAAGATAATTCACTAAATCACGCAAACTAAAAGCTTAAAACTACTTTAAGCCAATTTCAGAGCTTTTTTTTAGCTACAAACCTGGCTTTAAGGTAACATTAAGCCCAGAAATATGCTTTAGATATATCGAGTTGTGCAACTTTCTCTGAAACTAACCAGTTTTCAATTGATAATTCAATAGTATACTGGCACAAAATAATACAAAACGTCACGCGTTTCTAATATATGTCTAATTAGTGTGCTAAACGGAACCCCCCCATATATATGATTGTGTATATTAGCAATAAACTAAATTAAAAAAAAAAAAAAAAAAAAAAAAAAAAAACGAGTCTAGGCCACCTGTTGCCGCTGGAAGCTGCTATAAAAGAGGCAGGCAGTCACTCAGAGAACATCACAAGCTCCCACGATGAAGTTCCTGGCACTGTGCATTTTCCTGATCTTCGCCCTGGTGGCCGTCCAGGCAGCTCCTCGCAATTTCGGCCAAGGCGGTAGAGGAGGCTTTGGTGGCAACCCCGGAGGCGGTGGTGGAAAAGCCGAGGCCAACGCCAATGCCAGTGCCGTTGCCACCAGCCAAGGAAGAGGACCATCATCTGCCACTGCCAATGCCTCTGCCTCTGCATCGGCCCAGAGCGGTGGACGCCACCGTTAAAATATATCCTGAGGAGAAGATCCCCCCAACTGGACACTGGACAACGTGAGGAAGCCACAATGAAAAGTGGATACGTCACCTGACGGGCCTCCTTTTTGGACTTGTGAAGCGTTGATTGGAAAATATTAAAATAAACTCTTTGTTTTCTTTGGAAATCCAAAACAAGTTTCTTTAGGGGGTCTATGAATAACTTTAACTAACTAAAATTTACTCAACAATAAAGGTATTCAATACAGATGTTCCAAGTCAATACTTAAATATCTGCTACCACTGAAAACCCGTTCCTTTGATTTTGATTTTAATTAACAAATCAGCTATTTTGTCTAACGAACATAATAAGAATTCTAATAATTTTATCAATTTTTGAAGTTTAAAAATGGTTTAAAAATAATACATAAAGAGTATCTTTAAATTTAATTTGAATTTACAATTAAAATGTAAACTCTAATTGGTTAAAAAATGTATCATTCACAATTTTTAAAAGCTAAACATCTTATTTAATAAAAATGTTTGATCCCTTTTATACAGAACACATCAAAGATAATTATATGTATATATTTTGATTCTAATCCGATGAAAATGTAAAATAATACAATTATTTTTCTGACAAAAATTTCTAAAACAGAAAATTATTCCATTAAAAAAGGTATAAAAACCCCGAGTTAATTTATTTATATTTCCTTGTCATAAGTTTTCATAATACTTTTGCGTTTCTCTCATGTTGTTTTGAATAATTCAATAAAAAAGTGTGACGTCAATCGATTTATTTTGAAGCTCCTAAAAATTGTCTACATTTTGGTTTTCCTATTTTTTTACGGTAGCTGAGGTTCGACCAGAAACCAGTTCTCTTCTGATAAATTTATAACTTTGATTTTGCTTAAATTATTTGGATATTATTTACATAATTGCCGTCTCGCTAAACAAAACAAAAGCATCTGCTTGATCACAATAATGTGAATCTTTAATCACTTTAGTTCTTTTGCTCTAGAAAGTGGATCAACAGTTTTAAAGTTATAGAAATTTAAATTTAATCATAGTAAATAGAAATATTAACGTATACAGTTGAGACCGAAGGATAGAATTTGGATTTTGTGTTAACAGATTTAATAATATGTGTTTTCCTTAAAAAATATAATATTTTGATAGAAACATATTTATCCCCATGGAGTCATTTCGGACCATATAAAGTATATATATCAGTAGGTATTAATGAACATTAAGTATCTATGATCAGTAATTAGGTAGGATTAGTTAGTAACTCTCAACATTAAGTATCTATGAAAAGTAAGTAACTATGATCAGTAATTAACAATTCTAATCAAGTAACTATGGTCAGCAAGTATCAATGAACATTAAGTAACTATGATCAGTAATTAATTATGAACAGTAAGTAGCTATATCTAGTAATTATCAATGACCAGTAAGTATCTATGAACACTGGTAAACAATGACTTGCAACTTTTTTACCACAACACATGTCTGATACTTGGCCGGCAGCAGTCACTTCGTTCTGGGGATGTTAGAACTAGTTGGGAATCATATGCACGGAAGTGCGAGATTTGTTTTGGAAGAAATGTAAGAGCAATTGAATGAAACTATGGAGTTATATATTTTACTAGTATATTTTATTATAATTTTACTAGTATATAATTTGAAACATTTCGAATCGGTGGACTATATATATACATATATATATAGCTGCCATAGGAACAATCGGACGATTTATAGAACTATGAACAGTAATAAATTATGATAAGTAAGTAACTCTGAACATTAAGTATCTATGAGCATTAAGTAACTCTGAACAGAAAGTAACTATGATTAGTAATTAATTATTATTAAGTAACTATGATCAGGAAGTATCTATGACATGTAAGTATGGATGATCAGTTACTAAATTTGAACACTAATAAACAATGACTTGCAACTTTTTTACCACAACACATGTCTGATACTTGGCCGGCAGCAGTCACTTCGTTCCGGGGATGTTAGAACTAGTTGGGAATCATATGTACAGATGTGCGAGATTTGTCTTGGAACAACGAGCAAGCTATTTGAATAAATCTGTGGAGTTACTCTTCTATATAATTTTACTAGTATATAAAGCGGAGCATGCCGAATCGGTGGGCTATATATATACATACATATAGCTGCTATAGGAATAATAGGACGATTTATAGAACTAGGACCAGCAATTAATTATGATCAGTAAGTAACTAAGAGCAGTAATTAACTTTGAACATTAAGTATCTATGAACATTAAGTAGCTCAGAACATTAAGTAACTATGATCAGTAATTATCTATTTTTATTAACTCTGAACAGTAAAAATGTATGACCAGTAAGTAGCAATATCTAGTAATTAACAATGACCAGTAAGTATCTATGAACACTAATAAACAATGACTTGCAACTTTTGTAACACAACACATTTCTAAGACTTGGCCGGCAGCAGTCACTTCGTTCCGGGGATGTTAGAACTAGTTGGGAATCATATGTACAGATGTGCGAGATTTGTCTTGGAACAACGAGCAAGCTATTTGAATAAATCTGTGGAGTTACTCTTCTATATAATTTTACTAGTATATAAAGCGGAGCATGCCGAATCGGTGGGCTATATATATACATACATATAGCTGCTATAGGAATAATAGGACGATTTATAGAACTAGGACCAGCAATTAATTATGATCAGTAAGTAACTAAGAGCAGTAATTAACTTTGAACATTAAGTATCTATGAACATTAAGTAGCTCAGAACGTTAAGTAACTATGATCAGTAATTATCTATTTTTATTAACTCTGAACAGTAAAAATGTATGACCAGTAAGTAGCAATATCTAGTAATTATCAATGACCAGTAAGTATCTATGAACACTAATAAACAATGACTTGCAACTTTTGTAACACAACACATTTCTGAGACTTGGCCGGCAGCAGTCACTTCGTTCCGGGGACGTTAGAACTAGTTGGGAATCATATGCACAGATGTGCGATATTTTGTTTGGAACAAATTTAAGAGCAAGCTAATTGAATGAAACTATGGAGGTATTCTTCTAAATAATTTTACTTGTATATATATCGGAGCATGCCGAATCGGTGGACTATGTTACATATATACATATATATAGCTACAATAGGAACGACCGATAAATTTTTAGAACAACATATTATAACTTTTTTAGTTTTCTACAGATTTTCATTAAATTTGCTATATAGCCATTGAAAATCGGACTACTAGAAATATATATAATTTATATTATATTAATTCCTAGTGATCGAATTTCAATCTGCAAGGCTATACAAACTTTGGCGTGCCTAAGTTAGTTTCTTTATTTATATACACGTTTTATATAGACATTTTGTTGGTATTCTTCTAAATAATTTTACTTGTATATATATCGGAGCATGCCGAATCGGTGGACTATGTTACATATATACATATATATAGCTACAATAGGAACGACCGATAAATTTTTAGAACAACATATTATAACTTTTTTAGTTTTCTACAGATTTTCATTAAATTTGCTATATAGCCATTGAAAATCGGACTACTAGAAATATATATAATTTATATTATATTAATTCCTAGTGATCGAATTTCAATCTGCAAGGCTATACAAACTTTGGCGTGCCTAAGTTAGTTTCTTTATTTATATACACGTTTTATATAGACATTTTGTTGGCAAATCAATAATTAAAAATGTCATAACTAAGCCAAAAAGGCCCTTATTTTAATTCTGAGAACTGTCCTATGCTAGTTTTTATTAGAATATTTAATCTACATACTCAATTTGTATTTAAAAGAAATCTAAAATTTTGTCAAATTTTGGCAGTTGTAACAATGTAAATTTTTTTGGAAAAAAAAATGAAAAAAAAATCGAATTTTTTTTTTAACCAGACATAGCTAACTCGACTCGTCTCTTCATCCTGATCAAGAATATATATGATTTATAGGGTCGGAAATGCCTCCTTCACTTAGTTTTAAGCTTCTGACTGAAACTATAATACCATTTCTTGAGCCGATATATATTTAAATTATATTACAATTTTGTCTATAAATCAAATTTTAAAAATCTTATAACTTAGCCAAAAAGGCCTTAATTTAAATTCTGAAAACAGTCCTATGCTCGTTTTAGTTAGAATATTAAATCTGCATACTGAATTTTAATTTAAAAGGAATCAAAATTTTTGTCAATTGTTGGCAGTTGACAATGTAATTTTTTTTGGGAAAAAAATTGAAAAATAAAATTCGGAATTTTTTTTAACCAGACATAGCTAGATCGACTCGTTTCTTCATCCTGATCAAGAATATATATGATTTATAGGGTCGGAAATGCCTCCTTCAGTTAGTTTTAAGGTTCTGACTAAAATGATAATAACTTAAATGGGTATAAAAACTAATGAAGTCAATTGTGCTTCGTGAAATTATTACACCGAAAACTATTAACTAAATTCCAATATACTAAATTCTGTACACCAGTTTATTTTTTGTAGTTCTGTAAAAGCGAATACTTAAAGTATAGTAGTAAAGTTTTACACTTAAGTCTTATCTAGGGCAATCAAGGACTACATAAAGTAGGCTTACATTATTATAATTTTTTTTAAAACTCTCAATTAAAACTTTAAGTCTTAAAAGCATACATTTAAACAAAATAGAGCTAGTAGATCACGAACTCATGTCGTGACAGATATTCAGCACACCGGTTTTATTGTGACAAAACTGAGATGCATTGATAATGTTTGTTACTAATTTGCAAACATATAATAAAGTTAACTGTTTAATTAACAGAAAATCTTTGTTTGACAGTATTAAATTTACCCGATTTTCAGAGTCAAAAATACTTTCTAGTTCTAAAAACACACTAATACTTTAAAAGTTTTAAGTAAAAAGCAAACTAAGAATGGGAAACAAGACTATAGCTATATTTTTGTATGAAAACGCACTTCATTGTTTCAGTTTTTTTAGTATTTTTTATTAATTATAAATATTAAAAAACTAATTCAGTGAAGAAATTCGCTTAGTCCTCAGTACTTATTTGCCAAAGGAACTGGAATTAGCAGTGGCACTGGCACTGGCGTTGCTGTTGCCACCTCCACGGGAGTTGGAACTGGCATTGGCATTGGCGTTGGCATTGGCATTACCACCTCCGAAGCCATTGCCCTGGGCGGTGGCTGCGGCATTAGCATTGGCATTGGAGTTGGAGTTGCCACCGAATCCACCTTGATTGCCTGGACGACCACCGAAGCCTCCTGGACCACCGAATCCTCCCTGTGGTCCGCCTGGACCACCGAATCCTCCCTGTGGTCCGCCTGGACCACCAAATCCTCCCTGTGGTCCGCCTGGACCACCGAATCCGCCAGGTCCGCCTTGCTTATTGAATCCACCTGGACCGCCGCCGAATCCTTGGTTGCCTCCGAATCCTTGGTTCTGAGCCTGAGCCGAGGCTCCAGCGTTAGCACTGGAACCACCACCGAACTGAGGGGCAGCGGCGGCCACGGCCAGGACAACGGCGAGAACGACAAAGACCTTCATGCTGGATGCTGGATGCTGGATCTGCTACTCCGGACAAGTAACTGAGCTAACTTAGTAGCCATCGCCGCAGGGCCCGGCTTTTATATTAGCCAGACGGCCGGCAGACGCGGCCAGATGCCGAAAAAACAACACACACAGAAACTAGAAACCCGGTAAAAAATTAGCATGCAAACAATAGTCACAGCCGAAAAAATAAGGTTTGTTATATCGGGAGAATCTAGGCGCCAGAAAGAGCCCGATAGAGAGGCAATCAAATGCATTAGTCCGAGGAAAGTTTGCAAATGTCTTTAGACACCAACACGAGCCATATACGTGGTGGTTTCCTCTGAAACCGGTTTGACGCTATCAATATTTAAACGATTATTAATATTTGTGTTTATATTTCATTAAGTCTTTACCATTTTGGCAAAGTCACAGCGCGCTTTTGGCTGGGAAAAGACGATGTGATGGTAGTTAATTATCACAGCATCTTGACGGGGGTACTTTATTATAATATATGTACATATGTATAAATATGTCAATAATTTTCAATGATTCTACAAATAGAAGTACTTAAGGTATGAGTATAGATTGGGAATTCCCAGATAGCCGTTCCGGGTTTAAAAAACTACTAGAAAATCATCAGAAGTAAGCAGTATTAACTTTTAATATAAAACAATTACATTTTCGTTATAGTTATACCTGTAATACCTAAAAAATAAAACTTGTATCGCCTCTATATGAATATTACAACTTGATTTCATTAGAACTCACAAACCTTGCCCAAATGAACACTTTTGAAAACGCTTCCTTGTTCTACTATCAATCCCAATTTATTCCATCCCATTTCATATACAAAATTCATATTTATTTTCCTGTAAAGCGTACACAAGCCCCTATAGAAATTAACATAATTTCCAGGCATATAGATAAAGGTTTGTTTTTTTGTTTGTTCCATCCAAACTACATTTGAAATGCAAATTAATTGGGAAATAAAAATGATAATTTAAGATGTGGACGTGCCTGTGGAGAAGCCGGGTCAAATCGAAGAAATTCACCACACGTGTTATCACATCAGATCGGCTGACATTAGCTGGTTGCTATAGATATGCCGGTATATAGTGACAAGAGCGACATTATATGTAGTAATAAAATAATAATATATATTATAAACAACGAAAAATATTCTAGGAAAAAGAAGTCAAGAAGTTCTTGGATATTTTCCACACAGAAATAAAAACAAATAAAGAACAACGAATAAATAACAAGTATCAATGAACTTTAGGTTACCATAATCAGTAATTAACTATGACCAGGAGGTATCTATGAACATAAAGTAACTATGAACATTAAGTATCTATGAGCATTAAGTAACTGTGAACAGTAAGTAATTATGATCAGTAATTAAATATTCTAATTAAGTATCTATGATCAGTAATTAGTTATGACCAGTAAGTATGGATGATCAGTTACTAAATTTGAAAACTAATAAACAATGACTTGCAACTTTTGTAACACAACACATTTCTGAGACTTGGCCGACAGCAGTCACTTCGTTCCGGGGATGTTAGAACAAGTTGGGAATCATATGCACAGAAGTGCGAGACTTGTTTTGGAACAAATAGCAAGCTATTTGAATGAAACTGTGGAGTTAATCTTCTATATAATTTGACTAGTATATAAATCGGAGCATGCCGAATCGGTGGGCTATATATATACATATATATAGCTGCCATAGGAATAATAGGACGATTTATAGAACTAGGACCAGCAATTAATTATGATCAGTAAGTAACTAAGAGCAGTAATTTACTTTGCACATTAAGTATCTATGAACATTAAGTAGCTCAGAACATTAAGTAACTATGATCAGTAATTATCTATTCTTATTAACTCTGAACAGTAAAAAATTTATGACCAGTAAGTAGCTATAACCAGTAAGTATCTTGAACAATAATAAACAATGACTTGCAACTTTTGTAACACAACACATTTCTGATACTTGTCCGGCAGCAGTCACATCGTTTTGGGGATGTTAGAACTAGTTGGGAATCATATGCACAGATGTACGACACTTGTTTTGGAACTAATTGAAGAGCAAGCTAATTGAATGAAACTATGGAGATAATCTTCTATATAATTTTAGTAGTATATAAATCGGAGCATGCCGAATCGGTGGGCTTTAGATATACATACATATATAAAGCTGCCATAAAGAAAATTATAAGATAAAAAATTATAACTTTTCCAGTTTTCAACAGATTTTCATCAATTTTTATGCTGAAGTTAGCTTCATTTCTTGTTTTAAATCAAGTTAAATTTGAGCAATGCTACTAGTCTATAATACATAAATCTAACTTCTACTTTTATAACTAAAGTTCTAAAGTTCTATTAATTGTTTAATTTTACAAATCATTGATAGATAACTATATAAAGTTAATAACTGAGTAATTTAAGAACAATTTATTTTACTTACTTATATAAGAAGAAACCTAACAATTTTTCAACCATAAATTGCATGCACTCCATAAATGAAAACATCATTCAAATAAATGTGTCTTACTACTCTTTTATGGAAATATATTATTCTTTTATATAATAGATAAATATTATAAATAATATATAACCTATCTGTGTGATTATTAAATAACTTTGAATTATTCTATCTACCCCTCCCCGCAATATTAAACTTATTTTCAGATTTTGTTTATGTTGTTTTTAATTTATTTATGTTTTATTCACAGTCATTTCTTATCGCTTAAATTCCTAATATGTATTTTTGTTTTGGTTTGGCTTAACCGCGGAATCCACCACCACCGCTTGAAGCAGAGGCTGAAGAGGATGCGGATGCTGAGCCACCGCCACCACGTCCACCGCCTCCAGCAGCCGACGCCGAGGACGAGGCCGAAGCAGAAGAGGAACCACCGCCGCCGCCGCCGCCACCGAATCCTGGACGTCCTCCAAAACCGGGTCCAAATCCACCGCCTCCTCCACGATTATAGCCACCAGGGCCGCCGAATCCAGGGCCACCGAATCCTGGACCACCGAATCCTGGACCGCCAAATCCTGGGCCACCGAATCCTGGGCGACCTCCGAATCCTGGACCGCCAAATCCTGGACCACCGAATCCTGGGCGACCTCCAAATCCTGGACCACCGAATCCTTGACGACCTCCACCGAATCCCTGGGCATTGGCATTAGCGTTGGCATTGGCGTTGGCATTGCCGCCGCCGAATTGTGGCAGGGCCGTTGCCACAGCCGCCAGAACGGAGAGCGCGATGAATAGTTTCATTTTGGGTTGTTGTCGCCTCGAGAGTGGTCCGAACACTTTGGTCCCTGCACCGCCGGCCGGCGGCTTTTATTCAGTTCCGCCTCGGGAAAGAGATTCGGTGATCGGCCATTTCGGTGATCCACCCTGAAGCGCGCACTATCTATCTATCTATCTGGCAGCAACAACAACGGATTACATACATATATTTATGGCCCGGCTCATTAGCAGGTTCGGAACGTACGAGATCGGCCGCAGGCCCTATACACTACACCGCCTAGACCCGGTCGCTGCAACCGGTTGATCTCACCTACGATCATCTCGAGCACCTCGGACAATCTACTGCTGCTGCCCGCATTCAGGTAAACAACAAACTATATATAAAATTATATAGCCAGACGTAGATGAGGCGCCAGTGATGTCATAGATCAACTAGTTTTGGAAGCACCAAGTCATAATTATTCCCAAAGGTATATTTCGGGTTTAGAAAAATATAAAAAGGAAGTTGTTTAATGGTATACGTTTTATAATGCAAGGTTTTTATAGATATATTTATAATACAAATTTATTTAAAAACATTAGCTATTTTTCTGTGTGCCTTATTATCTTATGAGAAAATTAGGACATCGGTATGCGGAAAAAGTTGGTTATTAATCCCTTAGGTAAAATATATCTTAAAGTTCTGGCAATCTACAATAAATATTCATTGCCTTTCGTTTAAAAATCTCCAAATTCAATCAAAGAGTAAGATTACAGATTTATAGATTGATCTAAACTCTTTGGTTTAATTTACACCCAAAAACTCAGTAAATGTTCAATTTTAAAAGTGAATTTAAATCTTTTAATTAAAAATTTCCAGTTAGCTCCGGGAACTAGTTCGCCTTTGAGGCATCTCTGCCAAGCTAATAATTAAATTTCTCTATTGTATCTGAAGCAAATGACTGATTTAACTGTCCGCAAAATAATTTATGCTAAAATCATTTTCGATTGGACCTCAGTATTATAATTTATTTTCTTTTTTTCGCTACTCTCAACTTTTTATATGTTTGTTTATTTGTTTATGATTTCCATAAAAGCCGCGTATAATTGATAATATTATAAAACGTGTATTTTGTCGAAATGTTAATTATTCTAATTAATACCGAAAGGCATGAAAATATAAAAACAAAAATCCAACAAACGAAATTTGTGATTCAAATTGGTTTGAAATGTGTTTTAACTTTTGAAGTAAGGATCTTTGAGTTGAACAGGTGTCAAACTTTGAGGGGACTCCCAGTTTAGTGGGGCACATAAATATGCAACAGGGCATTGGAAAGTCTAATATATCCCCGAAGCCCGCATTATTCAAGCCAAAATCCAGCCAAAACTGTATGACAAGCTGTATGTGCAACTATTTTTATTATTTCTGCCGACTTATATGCATAATTTAACGGCGTTTTTATACAGCTCAGTATCCATAGATCACGAATATAAACAGTAGCAGATCGGCAACAGTAGTGAATAAGAATCTGTCTGTGAATAAAAATAATTATATTTAATAATAAAAGGCATTAAAAAAAGTATTATAGTTCCTGAAATATACCGTAATTAAAGTACTGATTATGATTAAAATAAATATAGAGCATACGAAATACATCCAACTTAATCTCAGGCGATTTCCCTAATGGTCTTGTAATTGTTTGCTAATTAACTAATTACCAAAAGGAGCCTGAGGTAATTACCAGTGGCTTGTCCTGCGACTTTAGCAGGTAAAGAAGTGAAAACATAACACTGAGGTACCTAACTACCTTTTACAGGTAGGAATAGGAAATATAACTGATAAAATCGTTGACAGTCCAAAGCTGCTTAAAATTTGATGTGAATATTTTTTGTGCAACCTTAAAAAATCTTAAAATCTTCACATTAAATAGATATTAATTTAAATAAAGAACACTATTATTTTAATTTAAATTGTTTCAACAATTTTCTTTTACTTCAGACTTTCTTCAAACAATTACAAATAACTTAAACTAATCACTAAATTAGGCGTTTATCCGTAGAAACCGCCGCCGCCGCCGGCAGCCGAGGCCGATGAAGAAGCTGAAGAGGATGCTGCTCCGCCGCCACCACTTGAGGCCGAGGAACTCGATGACGCCGATGCTGCAGCACTTCCGCCGCCTCCACCAATGGGGACACCGCCTCCATACGGATTTCCGCCAAATGCGGCAATGGGACTTGGGCCATAACCACCATATGGGTTGCCTCCGAAGCCACCATAGGGGTTTCCGAATCCACCACCACCCCCATAGGGTCCATAACCGCCGCCTCCAAATCCTCCAGGTCCTCCAAATCCACCCCTAAAACGTCCGTGACCTCTAAATCCACCGGGACCCCTGAATCCGCCACCGAATCCTCCAGGTCCTCCGTAGAATTGAGGCACCGCCGAAGCAGCGGCCACCAGCACGGCAAGAACAATGAGGGCCTTCATCACGATTCTCGATCTGGATTCTGTTTGCGATCACTGAGTTGTCTGGATTAGAACTGACGGACTCTCGCCGGACTGGCTATAGTATTTATACCGATTGTGATTGTATTGAATTGTATCCAAAAAACCAACGGAGCCGGAGAGTCAAAAAATGCGACAATTGAGACGAGACGAAACGAGATGATGGTGATAAATGGTTTTGGCAGATCACCTACCGATCACCTACCGGTTTTCATTTTATTATTTCAATCCAGTTGCTTTAAGATCTAATTACACAGAGCAACAAAAAATGGAATTACACTTTTATAGAGCTTATTAAGAAACCAGAAAAATATTATTAAAGTATAATAAATATTTTAGGGGAATTTCTCGGAGAATTTATCATTGTAATTTTGCTTTTAAAGGTGCCAGATATTAAGTGGTTTTTGTTAGAAGTTTAGTCTTTTTACATAATTAAACAAGACTTTTATTTATTATTTATCTACTTCGAAAAACATTTACTTATTGTGCAAATAATTATAATAATAAATAAATGTATGAGTCAGAAGCCATATTTGATAAGGAAATAAATAGATAGAAAGGAGTGAAATTCAACAATTTAAAAAGTTTACATTAAATTATATGTCCAAGTATTTACAAACTAAAATTCATTCATTAATATAAATTATTCAACATTTTTAAGAATACAATTTAAACCATAAATGTTATACTTAACAATTTTTAAAGCAAATTTATACACTAATTGATCAATATTATGCTGCCTAGTGTCTTTGCCGGCCAGAATGGTGACTTTGTTTGCCGGGTGATTCCCCAAACTGGCTTCGATATTTGAAAACGCATAATTAACACCATTGGACGACCTACGCCCAGGTGCCCCAAGTGATGCGTGTGTTTATAATCACCGGAGTGTTTACAAAACCCATTCGGGGTCTGTGCTCTTCCTGATCTGCGTAGTTCCCCATCTGCGATCGAGGGTACTACTTACTCATCGCCATTTGATCTCTTCTAATGCCGATCATCTGACAAGTTCATCTTGAAGAGTTTATTCCCCTCGATCGTGTTTTGTTCGCCCCCAAAAGCGGTTTCAATGGCGTTGTTGTCAAACAAAAGATGCTCGTGTGGAGTGGATGGGGCAGTTGGAGCAGTTGGAGCAGGTGAAGGTGAGATCACTGGGCATTTCTCTGGGTTTCGCGATCTTTCTGCATGGAGAGGTGGCTCAGTTCAACCCAGAAAGTCTTCAGTCTACGATCGCATAAGCTATGTATATTTGTTGAGAGTCTAAAGTCCTAAGAGTGTTATTGAAATGATCCTTAAAATAGACGAATTTATTTGGCAGCCCAATCTTCAGAAAGAAAGATTTTCATTATTGTAAAGTAAAAGAGAAAGCTTCAAGTGAATGTTGAAAATACATTAAAAAAAATACGATTGACATCAAAATCTACCCCATCAATCAATCTATAATCTATAAAAAGTAAAATAAATAATATAAAACCTTTATATCGAAACCATTCAACCTGAAATGGGATTTTTTCACTACTATAGCGAACAGTAGTTCTGTTTACCTCGATCAGTTTCGTTAAAGCAAATAATTCACACACGATTTTGCTAGACCGAGTGAGAGATATAGCCGGGAGAGTGAAATCTCCCATTCATGGCTATTTTAACTTTACACACTCACTCTGTGCATAATGATATGTTTGCATCGATCATTAGCGGGCCAAGAAAAAATCACTAGCCCTAATGATATACCTCTCTCAATTGTATTTGCAAAAACCCCACAATTCGGGGCTCGGGATTGGGTTCCATAACATTAAAGTCTCCCAAGCGCGAAGAACGAGATTTTTTTACAGATTCGTTGTTAATTAAGAAAACAACAAACAAATACAAATAGAAGAAAATATATACATAGAATCTAAAAACCTGTTCTAGTGTCGTCATCGCACACATCGTTCCAGATGATATGTGACGAATTAGCGACTCATATCTGAAAGGGGTTTTCCAGGGCCCTGAATGCAAGTTGTGAAAAGTCAATTATCAATATAGTTCGGTGATTTTTTGTCGATAAAATTAGTCAGGGGAATCCTTAATTCGTAGATATTGCCTGTACTCTGGAACCTGGTGTGTAGTTTTATAAAATAAATTAATGAATTCGCCGGTGATTTGAATTTTGTTTACGTTTTTCGGTTTATGCAAAAAGTCCGTAACATAATCGCCTAATGGAACCGGTCGGTCGCCCTGGGGATCGTTTGTTTAATTTCTATACTCTTTTATTTATTATATTTCTTGCCAAATTAGTGATGATTTTATATAAGCCACCTGGGCTTTATGTAATTCTCCTTTGTGTGGCATGATTAATGGCCTTGAAATGGCGCAGCATCGAATGGGGATTATTAAACAAAAATTTTAATAACAACTTCCTTTATACTATTTCCCTGAATAAATAACCGAGTGCACTTGCTCTAGTAATGAACTGCAATTGCCAATATTTGTTTATTAAAATCCAACCAAATTGAAATAATTTGATGCTGACCAAAAACGAATATTATCCCATTAGCCAGGAGGTGGAAGCGGACCCTGACAACATCAAATATTATTTAAATGCCAACTAATGAACGTCATGTTAATTATGTAAACGCACACACACGTACACACTCCCTCTGACCTGCAATCAATGCTTTGTAACATTTTTGCAGCATTTATTGTTATTGTTATTACCGTTTTTCCATAGTTTTCCCGCACAAATTGAAAAGCACCCATGCTCGGCGCCGAGGCAAACTTTTCAATTATGCGAACGCGGGGCTAATGAACAAAGCGATACATGACCGGCGTAAACCATCGTATGATATGCAATCTGAATTATTTAATTTTAATTAAAATACTGGGGATCGACCCTGCATTTATGGTGTCTACTTTCTGGCTTCCATGAAGTGGCGAGGTATCGTTTTCCAGGGCGGCCGGAATGCTGCATACTTTGTGGCACCGCAACCACCTGAGCTGAGCCTGAACTGTGCGCTGAAATATGCACATTGGCACATTGATAAACATTTCACATTTACTTTATTTTATTGCCTAACATAAATTTGCTGCAAACAAAGGGGGGCTTGGTGCCCGGGCAATATTGTCAATCCAACAAAAGGCCAACAACTGTTGCAGCCAGAGAGAGCGACTCGATTCTCTTCTGTGGCAAACCGCCAACCGTCTGTTGGCCCAACTTCCGCTTTTCCGCTTTTATGTTGCAAAACTGCACCACAGGGGTTCATCGTCCTTGTGCAAATTGGTCTCGGAGTTTATTGCCGGGTCCAGACAACGGACTCGAGACTCTAGGAACAGCACTGCAAACAAAAACTATGTTAATTGAAGGAAGTCCAGGGTTCTAGATGATTTTCTACTTGAGTTAACCAATTAATTGAGGGATAATTTAGGCCCAAGTCTTTCCTAACCAATCCTCTTTATTAATATTTCCTTTAAGAAAATTAAATCATATTAAATGTAGATTTTCTCCTGTGCATAGAGCAGCATCTGCTGCTTTCCTTTGGCAATAAAACTGCACTTTCAGCCTCTGGCGAGGTCCTTCGTCCTTCGCTTGCTTAAGATTTCAATTTGTTGCCATTCTGTGTGTGCAACAATTTGCAATAGTAAAACTTTACCTAATGATAAATGTTTGTGGGGGACACATAAAACTCCAGAAGAGAGCGGAGAGTCTGTCTTGGCCATTTAAGAGATTTATGTGGCCATGAGTGGCATCAATGTCTTCGTGGGGTTTTTGGGGGCTAATACAAGTCGCCCCGTAATAGGCCATTAATTTCGATGAAAAACTTTGCATGCCAGATTTTCCCTTTGAAAACCGCCAAAGTAGTGGAAAGTTTTCATCGCGGAATCTGTCGCGGTCGACAGCTGTTCAAAGGGTAAAGTGTACACCATCAAGAAGATCACGTGACTTTCACACTTTTCACGTGGTTTCCTTATTAACAGTTTTCCCCGGAAAACTTTTAATGTCTCCCTGTCAAATTTATGGGGTATTTGCATACGATAAGTTCAACCGGAAATGATTCTCACACATCTTGTTCTATTTACTTTTCTTTTTCCACAATTAGTGGTCAAAACTTTATTAAAATCTCGGGTAATACTTGGAAGCAATTGAGTGAGTTACAGCGAATGTTGACATCTCTATGGAAACTAGGATTAGCCATGGTAGCCACCGCCACCACCTGCACCTGCCGATGAGGTGGCTGTAGCGGAGGCGCTTGAGTGGGCGCTGCCACCTCCATATCCACCACCACCTCCTGGTCCGCCTCCGTATCCACCACCGCCGCCTCCAGGTCCGCCACCGTATCCGCCTCCATGGCCGCCGTGCTTGTGTCCGTGACCACCGCTGAAGCCGCCACCAAAGTGGCCACCTCCTGCTCCTCCGCCTCCTCCTCCTCCTAAGTGACCACCACCGAAGCCACCTCCAAGTCCGGGGCCTCCACCGATGAGACCGCCTCCTGAGTGACCTCCAAATCCAGGACCGCCTCCAATTCCGCCGCCACCTGAGTGACCTCCAGAATGTGCACCTCCTCCAGAGTGACCTCCACCGATTCCTCCTCCTGGTCCGAAGCCTCCACCGCCACCGCCACTGCCGCCTCCGTAGCCACCTCCCGGCTTGCCACCTCCATGGCCGCCGCCGCCGCCACCGCCACCAATTGCACCGGCCGACGAAGACGCAGAGCTGCCACCGCCTCCGATTCCTCCAAATCCAGGACCACCGGCACCTCCAGAATGACCACCTCCGATTCCACCGCCTCCAGAATGACCACCTCCGATTCCACCGCCTCCAGAATGACCACCTCCGATTCCGTTGGCACCTAATCCGCCAGAATGACCTCCACCAATGGAGCCACCTCCTAAGAAGCCGCCACCGCCGCCGCCACCTCCAGAATGAGCACCGCCTCCTGCATGAGCGCCACCTCCGAAGGGACCTCCTATGGATCCACCAGACAGGCCGCCATCGCCGCCATAGCCGCCTCCGAAATCGCCACCTCCAGCTCCTCCATGTCCACCGCCATGTTTACCGGGTACAAGGCCATCACCATCTATAGCTATAGCACCAGCTGACGCCGAGGACGAGGCTGATGCATGGCCACCACTTCCGCCTCCATAGCCGCCGCCTCCATAGCCTCCGGCAGAGGCCACTGCCACACAAACACTCAGCACTAAGAACAGACGCATCGGAACCTTTGCCACCACTTGGCTCACTGACTGCGCTCCCTGGAGCTGCTCAGGCTTTTATAAGAGCAGTCGCAAAAAAAAGTACAAATAATAGTGAAATGTTTGCGAAAATAAATTCGCAGAGCGCGAAAAAAAAGAATAGCAACGGAGAGGCAAGTCACGTTCCCAGTTCTGAGATCCCTTGGGTCAAGATCGGCAAAAAACTCAAACAGCACTCGACTGCAGGTTAGTAATTAAAAATTAAATGAAAAATTTCAAATAAATATTAATTAAAGATCGTTTATTCCATTTATTCTAACTTTGATTAACTTGCATTAAAAATTAAAACAATAATAAAAGTTAAGTGCTATCAGACCTATTTCATTAAATTTCTCCAGTTCTGCTTAACAAGTTCAAACTATATTAAGGGACCCATTAAAAGTTGGTAATATATTGTAGCAGAGTGTAATTAGCTCCCGTGGGGAACAATAACGAGTTTTAACACATTTTAATGGGTTCGATTGTCTACAAATACTGAACAAAAAACACACTATCCTCTCTTTAGGTAGAATTTGGTACTTTTAAAGGCAAGTTCTAGCAGCGGGAGATCAAGATACGCATCAAATTAAATGATCGATGGATCCAGTTAATGAAGATCAGGTAGGAAATCCCAAAATATTACAAATAAAAAAACAAAATTGTATATAAACATGTTTAAAAACAAAATCCAATGAACAAGAGTATCTAGGCCTCGTCATCATCTACTATTTTTAATCACTGAATCTTATGTAAACAAATTTAATCATCATTTTGCTTTAGAATCAACTGCATTGACTCTTGGTTGGGCCAAGATTAGATTGAATTTCATTTAAATGATATGCGGTGGAGGCGTTCAATGGTTACGACAATGACCCTTAGGGTCTACGTCACTCCACAGCTTCTACTGATTAGAAAACAATCGTAACAGACCCACGGGCGATGATGATGATTATATAAAATTACTAAGCCCCTAAACATAAACATTGTAACGATTCATTTGCAAAATTAATTTTGGTTTTTAATAGTTTTAGTTAATAGTTCTATTCATTTAATATTCCAACGTTTAATTTCTATACACATTTTATGACTTAATTGCAGTAAAGCAAGTTGAAGCATTTCCGGTTGCAGTAATAAAAGTTATACTATACACTATTCTTTATTGTTTTAATTTATGATGATTTATTTATTTATTTCTCTTTGACATATTAGGTAATATGTATTTAAAACCTGGGCTTCACAATACTCTTGAGTTCATAAATGTAAAAAGTAATTTAACCAAGGAATAGTCCTGCTCCTCGGTTAATGGAGCCCCCGATATGAGCACCGCCGAATCCAAGTCCTGCACTTCCGGAATTGCCGCTAAGGCTTAAACCATTTCCTCCGAGACTTGCACTACTCTTGTGATATCCATTGGATCCACCAAGGGAAATCGAATCAGCGTTAGATCCTAGAGTTGCAGAAGAACCTCCCAGCTTTAGGGTTCCGGAACTAACCGGAGAAACCGGAGACAAAGCGGAGGCACCTGTTTCAGCCGCTTTTATCAATCCACCAGCTACTCCATGGGTCACAGAGACAGCTTCGTGGGCTCCTGTCAAGCCCAAATATTCAGCCCGGAGGATTCGATACTCAAATGTCCGGCGCTTATCTTATGAGATCCCATGTTAGAGCCAGAGGTTAAGGATCCAAAAGTTCCAGTTGAACCTAGGGCCAGATGAAGCGATCCGGTAGAGGAACTAGAGTCCGTGGAGCCAGAAGATCCAATATTTAGATGACCCACGCCCGAAGATTCTTTCGAAGATCCTTTCGAAGAACCAGAGGTGTGCGATGCTCCGGAAGTGGTGGCCCCGGTAGTAGTTGCTCCGGAAGTAGCTCCGGAAGTCTTAATGTTCAGATGTCCGTGTGCAAGGGATGTAGTACCGGAAGCAGTATGCAATGAACTGGATCCACTTGTTTCAGAAGCTTTGATATGCGAATGTCCGGCACTAGTCTTGGCAGAGCTAGCCTCCAGGGAAGCCGAGGAAGAACCAATTTTGGAGGATCCAGCATTTGATGCTACTTTGTAGTGCTCCGTCTTAATTTGGGCTGATCCTGATTGTTTGACTGCTTCAAGGGAAGCAGATCCCAAACCTGTGGATCCGCCAGTACTCAGATGTCCGGCAGATCCCGATCCAATGGATAGAGATCCGGAACCCTTTTTCGATGCACCGGAAATAGTACTGCCAGAGGACTCAACATTCTGATGTCCAGCAGTAATTTTGGCAGAGCCAGCCTCCAGGGAGGCCGAAGAAGAACCAATTTTGGAGGATCCAGCACTTGATGCTACTTTGTAGTGCTCCGTCTTGATTTGGGCTGATCCTGATTGTTTGACTGCTTCAAGGGAAGCAGATCCGAAACCTGTGGATCCGCCAGTACTCAGATGTCCGGCAGATTCCGATCCAATGGATAGAGATCCGGAACCCTTTTTCGATGCACCGGAAATAGTACTGCCAGAGGACTCAACATTCAGGTGTCCAGCAGTAATCTTAGCAGAACCACCTTGCAGGGCAGCTGACCCGGAGCCAGTAGATAGAGATCCAGTACTAGCATGTCCTGCACTGATCTTGGCAGAGTCTGTCACGGAAGATCCAACGGAAGCTGATGAACTACTACCATGTCCGGCATTGCTCCAGCCCGTTGTGGAGCCAGTCTTTCCAGAGGTTTCAATGTTGAGGTGACCAGCTGTAGAAGCTGATCCCGTATTGTAGTGCAATGAGCCGGTTTCCGTGTTCCCAGTGGCTCCGATACTTAAAAGTCCGACTCCTAGAGAGGCTGAGCCGGAGTTGGTGGCTCCAGCGGTTTCAAGACTCACATGACCATCTCCGGAGTTGGAATTTCCTGTAGAACCGATGCTTAAATGTCCTGCATGAGTGGATCCAGCTTCCGCTCCGGATGTTGCAGCTCCAATGAGACCGCTGGCAACCTTATCTGCCTTCTGTGCACCCAACGAGGCCGCTTCAGCTCCCAGAGAGGCCGCAGTGGATGCTGTGGAGGTCACTGCATTGACTCCAGTACCTGCCACACCCAGGAGACCGTTAGTTGCTTGCTTCACTAACGATCCGGCAGATCCTGAGGAGTGCGAGCCGCTGGCCGAAAGGCCTCCCAATCCAATGGATGCTTCATTGGATCCTGCTCCGCTGTAGCTACCGCCTAGATTCAGACCAGGCAGACTTCCTTGAACGCTGGAGGCACCTCCATTGCCTCCAAGTCCAATGCTTCCGCCACCAAAACCAAATCCAAAACCAGCGGAGGCCAGGGACACGCAGCCGGCAGTCAAGAGTAAAAGCAATCCCGTGGGAATCATTGTTTGAATGTCACTAACGGCTTTCCGAGAAAACACCAAGCTTATATAGAACCGAAAATACGCTTGACTAGATATCAAAAGACGTCATAACATTATACAGTTGAGCTTAAAAAATAGAAAGTCTTAAAATAAAATTCAAGGTAATGAAAAGTTACAAAACCTACGGTGAACTCCATCAAGAATTATGAAAACTATTACAAAAGTATATTAAATATGACAAATAATAATTATTATCTTTATTGATATTATTATTATTATAATAATTAATATAATAAAGGTTAAGGAGTTTCCACTGTTACCACTAATATTTGGTGACGTTTTTTTGTTAATTAATTCACGGCAAGAAGGAAAAACAAGTTCCTAAGCATTTATCAAACGGTTTTTTGCTTAGGTAAGATGGTTATTGGTTTGGGGGATTCACCTTTGTCTAAAAAAAACACGCGTGCTAAAGGTAGTCTAGCAAAATATTAAAATAAGTATTAAATTAAGGTCAATCAAATCTTGGTTTACCCTTACTTGATAAAAAGAATAAATATAATAAACAAAAAATAAACTCAAAATGTATAAATCTTTAAAGAAACTATCACAACTTTTTAACCCATTTTTTTATAAGAATATCATACAATATTTCTAGAAAAAGTTCAATATTATCTAAGCTATTTATTAAACAAATTTCCATCTTAAGGTTAGGGTATTTCAAACTCGTTTTATGTTATTTATTATTTCCAAGTCTATAAATACTTTCAGAAATTAATTTGCTTAATCAAAGCTCGATAAAATTAGCAACGTTTTTACAGCTTCACCTTTCCCGTGGATCATTAATGTAGCATTATTTAATGCTATGCATTCTCTTATATTATTAAATTATTATTTAGTGACAATAACAGCGATTTGTATATAAGTTCCCTTTGTTTCTTAAGCCCCTCCTAGATCCCAGATATGGATACAAAATTATATTTTCCACTCTCGGTGCAACGTGCACTTTGTTTTCGCCAACTCAGACACAGTTTTTCACTTAACTTGGCTTGCTGGTGTGCAGGAAAAGCGCAGCTCAGCTTCACAGAAATGCAAATACCAAATACCAAGACAATGTGGGCCGAATCCCAAGAAAGTCGAGTCGGATGAGGCTGCATCTTAGGACCGGGTGTCAGCTGGCTTGGCCCACTGGCATCTGCTGGGGGCAGCAAATGGAAAATTGTACTCGCAGGAAAGGAAATCTGCTTACAAATGCATGTATCTGCTGCTGTTGCGAAATCTGTTACGGCTTTTGTGGGGCGAAAGAAACACTTGACTTCCGCTTCCGCTGAAGTTTCGCCATGCATATTTCAAAATGCAAATACTCGCATATTCTCAGCAGTTAAAGCTAAGTACAAAGAAGCGAATAACTAAGTAAATATTGAATTTGGGGCAACTTGAGCTAATGGGATTTTTAATCTTTTGTTCCCCTTGATATGATAAGTGACAATCTCCTTACTTTCTTCGTTCTATATTTCTTGTTAAATAAATACTTAAATTAAATTAAATTAAACATGTATTCCCTGCTATCTGAAACGGAAACCTCTCCTAGAACGATTAGATTCCTCTGGCGCATCCTCGGGCAGTTTTCCCAGGACCTGCAGCATCCTGCGGTAGAGCATCTTTCGCACATCTGTGGCCCAAAGGAAGTCCATGTGGTTGAACTCCTTCTGGGGCACCAGATACTTGCCCGTCACGTTGCCCAGGTCATCGCACATGGCTTCCACATCGTGGGGATGACACAGTAGGTCATTGGTGGAGTAGTAAACAAAAGTGGGCACCGTCACCTGGCTGAGATTGTAACGCGGAGGCAGGTGTTCCCTATACAATTGCATATTCTTGTTGGAACTGTAGCTATATGGAGCAAAGCGACCGCTCTTGATGATCTGAATAAAGTGCTTCACCTGCTTGGCAGCCACTCCGGCGGGATAGTGTCCCAGAATCACAGGGAACATTTTCTGGAATAGATTTCAAAGGATATTCCAGACTGGAAATAAACTTTAAGGAGACTGCTTACCCTGTTAAACTCATTCCAATTACGACCCACGATTCCAAAGACTGCCTCAATGCACAGCCGCTCTGTCTCCTCTGTCATGCGGCACAGGAAACGGAACTCTCCATTGAACATCTCGCGTATGGAACTGCCCACAAGGCTCTAAATATTTACAAATATATAAGAATTTAAGTAAAGAATTTAAACCCAAAAACTCACATTAAAATAAAGACTGATGGCTCGTATATAGGGATGATCCTCGGTCTCCTTGGCATACACAGCCGGTGCCATTGCCTGCATGGAGAGCACCTTCTCATTGTAAGCTGGCCTCATGGAGCACATCACAAAGAAGGAGGTGCAACCCTGCGAATGGCCACCATAATGCAACTTCGGAAACCCGGTGACCTTCAGCACATGGTCAATCATGGCGGGCAGGTCATACATCCCGATCTCGTGCCAACTAAAATCCCAGAACTTGGACTCGTCCGGATCCAGGGTGGTGTGATTCCTCGAGTAGCGATTCCCACGCGCATTGCCCAGCCACATGTCGTAGTTGTGGTCGGCCAGCAAATAGGCTGTCAAGTGAGATCCGGCCGTTAGCACTTGGTCATTAATCACGGGAACCAGAAAGGGGACAGAAAGAGGGAACTCACCGAGGCTAACATTGGGACCCATTACCACAAATCCCGCCGAGCTGTCCACGAGTCCGTGCTGGAGGAGGAAGGGCTGGGCTCCCTCCTTGCGGATGCGATGCAGGGTGAGTATGTAACCATCCTCGGTGGTCACATGATGCACCTCCGCCTCGTAGCCATACTTGGCGATTAATTTGTCCTGCATGAGATAGTCGATGACAGTAAGAGCACAGAGAGGAAATGGTAACAATATAGGTTTATAAGAGGTTTTTATTTACCACAGTGAAGTTGTCTATCATTTTTAAAGAAAAATCTTGTAAATCAGGGTGTAAAATAATATTTAAAAAATATAATATATGGCAAAACCTCTCCCCTTTTTATGCTCAGTGCAATCATTAATCTTCTTACCACGCTGAGTGTGGAGTCCTGCTTAATGTTCTTGCGCTGCAATCGCTCCTCCAGAGTCTCATCCTCGACGCTCTCCTCCTCCTCTTCCTCCTCCTCCTCGTCCTCCTCATCCTCCTCGCCGCCTATCAACTGACCCTGTGTCCTGCTGATGAGCACACACAGGCCCAGGAGCAGGACCAACCGCATCCTTAGATTTTGGCGCATCTTTATGTGGCGGCTAAATTACGGAAAGTGAAACCACGGCGAGCTCTCTCTCAACCACAAGGCAACGCGACGCGAACTCAACTGAAGACCAATTCGAAAAACCTGTCAAAAACCAACGAACTTCTGCAGGGCTTGCAACAAAAAATAAAAGAAATAATACAAAAAAGAATGCCGAAATACGAAAAAACTTTCGATCAGACAACAACATTGCGCACTGTGACGTGTTACCTGCTTTTGTTTACCTTTTGATTGCGTTTTACGTTTTCGGCCAAGTTAATTAAATATGGCCACGAAAAGGGGGAGGGAAGGGAGTGAGCAGGGAAAAGTTTTGTTTTGGGATGCGTTGGGCGTAATAATCAGAAAACCAGAAAACTTATCAAGTGCAAGAAGTACAGTGAAGCAACAATTTCGAGAGACTTTATCAGAGCTCCATTACAACATGTTCTGGTAGTTATCTCTCTATCAGCTTTTATTGTCTTTAAATTAAGATTCCATTTCAAAAACCACATAAACTTTCCGCCAGACTGGCTTATAAAAATGTATATTTGGAAAGTTTTTCAATAAATATCAATAAAATATTAAACACAAATTTTAATTAACACATTTTCTTAGATCATAAAAAATGATCCCCATTTAGTAAGTGCGGCACCAAAACAATTCCATTAAGGTAATTATCATTCGTTGTCCTCTTTCAACCATCGAAATGGCTTAATAAGCCAAACCTTTTGTGGCCAAAAAAAAGCAGCGGCCACAAATGAATTTTTTGTTGGCCATCAAAAGAAAGTAAAAGTGTCGAGCCGTTGTTGTGCCGGCTGCCTTTTTGAATAATACATCTATATAATTTATACATATATATTTTTTTAACGGCTTGGCATTACATAATTGGCACTTTGGCCTGCTGCCAAGGCAAATAAACCATTTCGCTGGCCGATTATTATTTTTTTGTTTGATTTCTTTTGCTATCATTTCCATTTTAATGGGAACCTTTGATGACACCTTTTTTTTTTGTTTATTGTTTGGCGGTCATTCAATTACGTAGGGCAATCGACCCTCCAGAAATTGTTCCATTTGCTCAATTAATTTATCATTGACCAGGGTCTTGACATCACCGGAGATGAGGAAATCCAAGTGGTTGAATTTGGGGGAATTGATGCGCCTTACACCCTTTACAGACTTGAGCATCCGGGAATAGATCCCGTGGACACCTTCGGGAGTGGCAATGGCATCGGTTTCACCAAAATACAATATAATTGGTACCGTGATCTGGCTAATGTTATAGTTTATGGCTTCAATGCCTCGATATATCTGAATATTCTCGACGGGTCCAAAGTCATAGGAAATAAAGTCACCCGATTTCCAGATCTGTTGAAGATGACGTATCTCCCGGGCAGAACCGCCTTGCAGAAGATGTTCATAGTTGAAGGCTTCAAGGAGCTGTGGAAGATTATGTGTTAAATTAAAAATATATATAAGTTTTTAATATATATTTAAGTAAGTACCTTTTTATTGTTCTGGGCACTGCCTGCCAGTTGCTTTGTGTAATATTCACAGATATCCCGCTTACTTTGGCATATTTTTGGTAGATAACCCGGAGGAAATATCTCCAATTGCTTCCTTTTTTGTCGTTTCTGAAGAAGTTAAAGTTAATGAAAAGAATAATTAAAATTAAAGATAGTTAATAATTACATATAAAAGTTAAATAAAGTTATATTTTGAAAGGGGTTATTTGTACTTCACTTTTCTTTCTTTAGCCCCGATTTGTAACTAAATATTTTGTTTTAAAGCTCTATTTTAAAGCTTCTTATTTTTGCATAGTATTTTTCCACAAGAATATAATCCACTCAGCTGATTTGTCTAGCTTTTCCTAAGCTTCAGATTCACTAAAATTATATTTTTAAATCGCCCCAGGGGGTTATCACCGAGTGAGTGTATTTGTTCTTTCCCCAAATAATCTCTCATACTCTCCAGCTCTCAATAGTTCCTTATCTCTATGTCGATGTCAAGCGATGTCAGCGGCATTATCACTTATACAGAGAAAAATAAATCATGTAACTAATCAAGAAATTGAATTTACAATTTAAATACATGATTATTTAATTATTACAGATATTAATGTTCAATTTAATAACCAAATAAATGTCAGGAAAAATTTTAATTTTCGTTTCCAAAACAAAATCAAAATGCTACATCAATTTTTAAGTATAACGAAGTAAATATTATTTCCAGTGTCTATTCCTGATCTCATCTCCGAAGCGGTCTCAATCCGAGACTCAGTCACCGCGCGATGTTCAGACTAAGCAATCGTTTTCCCGCCTTTCTGGGCGGTCTACGCCACGCCTCCTCCGCCGGCGATGGTCAGCGGACCGCCCTCTATGACTTCCACGTGCAAAAAGGTGGAAAAATCGTCAATTTTGGAGGCTATGCTCTGCCCGTTCAGTACTCTGACCAGAGCATCATCGCCTCGCATTTGTACACCCGCCAGGTGGGTTCCATCTTCGATGTGTCCCACATGCTCCAGACACGAGTCTTCGGCAAGGATGCGGCAGCCTGTTTGGAATCTGTCTGCACGGCGGACATCCTGGCCACTCCCAATGGCAGCGGCACCTTGACCGTTTTCACCAATCCAGCAGGCGGCATCCTGGATGATCTCATCGTGAATAAAGTTAGCGAGAAAGAGCTCTATGTGGTCTCCAATGCGGCAATGAAGCAGCAGGATATGGGAATCATGAGCGCAGCAGTGGTGAGTGGAGAGTGCAGTGTCCCTGGGAGAGCTCTCTTTTTAAATTCTTTTTTTTTTCAGGACAACTTCAAAGCCCAGGGCAAGGATGTGACCATTGAGTTTCTCACTCCCACCGATCAATCCCTAGTGGCTGCTCAGGGACCCCAAGTGGCAGCCAATCTGTCCAAACTTCTGCCAAAGGATGCATCCCTGGAGCAACTCTACTTCATGACATCCTTCGTCACCACTCTGGCTGGTATTCCCAATGTACGGATCACAAGATGCGGCTATACTGGAGAGGATGGTGTGGAGATCTCCGTGGAATCCAACCAGGTTCGGCACCTCACCGAAGCCCTACTTGAGAGTGGCAATCTGAAGTTAGCTGGCCTGGGTGCCAGAGATTCACTAAGACTGGAGGCAGGTCTCTGTCTCTATGGCAGTGATATCGATGCCAAGACCACACCTGTGGAGGGAGCCCTCGCCTGGTTAGTGGCCAAGCGACGACGTGCCGCTCAAGATTTCCCAGGAGCTCAGGTGATCCTTAGTCAGCTGAAGGAGGGTGTGACACGAAGACGTGTGGGATTAAAAATGCTGGGAACGAAACCCCCACCAGCTCGCTCGGGAGTGGCCATCTTTAGCCAGGGTCAGCAGGTGGGTCAGGTGACCAGTGGCTGCCCCAGTCCCAGTGCGGGATATAATATAGCCATGGGCTATGTGACCGAGAACCTCAAAGCGCCCGGCACCAAAGTGGAGCTCAAGGTGCGGGATAAGCTCTACGAGGCCGAAATTGTGAAAATGCCGTTTGTTAAAGCCAATTACTACAATAAGCCCAAGAAATAAATGTGAAGGGATAAATTTGGACCTTATAACTCTCTAAAAAACCCTAATTAACTAATTAATTAAATCATTTTATCTGCATTTACCTTGACAAACTTCATGAGATGCCGCACCTGGTTGGAGTCGAAGCGCACCTGTCGACGCAGTCTTGCCAGTGGTGCCAGGGCCTGCATCAGCCGGATGCGTTCATTGAATCGCGGATGCACCGAGCAGAGCACCAGGAAGGCATTGAAGGCCTAAGAGTAACATTTAGGAGGGAGTTCCTCACCTGTGACCCCTGAACAGCTCACCTGCGAGTGCCCAATTAGTAGGACTTGGCGTGGGTCCCTCTCTGGCGATGGCTCCGGATCTGCCTCCACTTCTGTCTCTGGCTCTGGATCTCCCTCTACCTCTGACTCTGGATCTGTCGCTGTCGTTACCTCTGGCTCTGCCTCTGTTTCCATTTCCACGGCATTTGGGTCTCCTCCTCCTGCTCGTCCTTTTGGCTGCTCTTCCCCACCTGTCACCACCGCCATGTGGTCAATTATGGCCGGCAAATCGTAGGCGCCGTGCTCGTGAAAGCTAAAGCGCCAGAATGCCGGCATCACGTCGGTCAAGTCGCTGTGCTGCCTTCCATATGGAGCCACGCCGCGCAGATTGGCCAGCCACACATCATAGCCGCGTTGATGCAGCTGAAAAGCTACACGGAAAATAAAAATATGTATCATAATCTTAACAGATAGGAAGGAAAAAATGAGAATCCATATAAACATTAAAATATATATTTTAGTTGAGAGTTTAATTCTTTAATAAGTCCCTAATCTAACAATTATTTTCTTGGAAAATTCAATGAATTCTGTATTTTTCTGAGTGCTTTTTCGCTTACCCAAACTCCGCTCTGGCCCCAGGCAGACCCATCCCAGCGAGGAGCCCAGCAATCCATGGACCAGGAGCACGGATTTAGCTTCCGGGCGTGGAAGCCGGTGTAACTGCAACTGATAGCCATCCGTGGTGGTTATATTGTGAACTTCATGGCTTACATTCAAGGCCTCCAGCCAATCCAGCTAATGTTCACCAAAAGAAATTCTTTGTAAAATATTTAACTAATAATTAATATAAATAAAAATATAGAAAATACATCTATAAAGATAGGATTTTCTATTATAATTTCATATTCTATACAAGAATTTAGTGTCCTAAAATAAGGATGAGTGTCTCCTTTCCACTTGATTGACACTTGCCGTGGTCCATTTGAAACGAGACTCCGGCGGAGTGGCTCTACAGGGACACACAATGATTACGACTTGGATGGCGGTTATCCAGCCTAACTCATTCATTTTGGACATTCAACTGAACTGGTCTCATATGAGCACGAATTCACTAATTGCCCAGTTTCCCCCAGATTATCTTTCCACTTGACTAAACGACAGAAAATAAAATTTAAAAGGGGAAATTTGGTCAGAGGGTGATTTTACTTGGTACAAAGTTGCCTTTATTTTGTCTTGGTAAGGGTTATTAAAAAAAAATTCATATTTAAATAAATTCAACTTAAGAAATTACCATTTAATATTGGTTATATTTATATTCTGACTCAAACTCAAATACTTTTAACAATATTTCAGCAACCTCTTCTGGAATTTTTCTTCTCATATTTACAACCAATATAAAAAATACCCGCCAATGCAATTCGTAATTAAATAAAGCTTAACGGAAAGCTTAAATAAAATAGATTGAATAATGCCTGGGCGGCCGTATCCTGGCCAAAATCCTTATGGAAACGCTCACAATTAATTGCATTTCCCCCTTTATCACCCTGTAATATTCATACTCCAGAGGGGGAGGAGAATCCTGTTGCCATTGCAATTCAGGGGCAGACCACTTGCCGGTAGCATCGTTGTTTACTTATCGCTGGGAGAGATAACAATTGACTACGCAGACGGCTGAAGAACAACCAGGGAAAAAATCCCAGCGAACTTTATTAAAATTATGCACAAAAAACAAGAGGGGGAAACACAAAAAATCCGAATGAATAAAAGGGCAAAGAAAGCGAGGTCCAAATTAAATGGGAATCCAAAAACGTGAATGCAAAAAATACCCGCAAGGATTGTGGCAATGCGACTGGCAACAAAGGACACGCAATGCCCATTGGTGCTCCTGCTCCTCATCCTTCTCCTACTCCTTCTTCTCCTTCCCTTTGGAATAAGGACTCTGGCACCGACGGCATCTGTGTGCAGTCAACAGGATGCAAAAGTGCAGTCGATTAACGGAAGCGCACAAGGGTGCGAGATCCTCTGACGAGGGGGGGTGTGACAGGACGGCAGGACCTCAGGGGGGCGTGTCATGTCCGGCACTTGCATATGTATGAATTTTTATTAAATTTAATAAAGCTGCAATTATGCAATTTACTCGTGCTCGGTGCATTTGTCACGCCCACTGCTGCCCAGTGATGCCCAGAGAGTTGGAAATTAATTTGGCTGCGGTTACAACAGTCGCTGCGATCCGGGAAATTGGAATAAAAAAAAACGCATTTGGCAAATTTATGAAACGTAGGCCAGACTTTAATGGGGTGAGCGGAAACTCAGTTTCACTATATACATATATTAATCTGAAGTTAATTTAATTCTTTAGTTTACATTTTATTCAAAAAGCATATTTCCTGTAGGATGTTCCTGAACTTCTGGTTTGCATTGAAAAATTCCTTATACATATTATAATTATTTATTTATTAAAAAGCTTATAAAATAATATTTCCTGGAGGATGTTTTTGAATTTCTGGTAGAGAAATAATACCTATAATAAATATATAAATAATATATATATCGTGTCCTTTTATTTCTGTTAATCAGCCAAAACATTTGCATTAAAAAATTCCCTACACATAATATAATTCTTAATTAATTAAATAGTTTACGCAATATAATATAAATAATATATGTTTATAATTATCTCAATTTGCTCTCAGGCTCTTAGCATCTCACTCTCTCTCTCCCTCTCGTTTTCGTAATGCCTATTGCTAGAGCTACCTCCCTCTCTCTATTACTCTTCGCCTCCTCGACTCTCTAGAGAACTCTCTTTTGCGCTCTCTCTTATTTTCTCTGTTCTCTTCTCTCGGAGACTATAAATACAGACGCTGCTGCCGCTCTGGCCTCATTCTGTCCGTGGCGTTCGCAGTGTTTACATCTCGAGTGATAGTGATAGTGATTACCTTTCAGCCCCATAAATATGACGTGGCCAATGCAATACATTTAGATAACAAGGAAGAAGACTACTTTGATGCTTCGATCCCATTATTATGACGTGGCCAATGCAATTCTATACCAATGATTGATATATATTTTTATTTGTTATGATCGATTTAACATTAGAATCCGCAACCCAATTGATAACTGCAGGGGTATACACACTTCCTCTTCTCAAAGTAAGCTTCCTGTCTTGTTTATCTATCTAAAATGAATTAAACAAGAATCTCTTCCCTTTTATTTCCCCTTACAATTTAAGATATTTACAAGACAAATAATAATATTAAGTCTTTTCTCCATTTCATTTCCAATAACTTATCAATGACAAACCAAAGCCCAAACTTATTCCACATAAATACACCTCCAGTATTTAAATGCAGGTGAAACACATCATCATTTCAAATTTCCAGCCATAAAATCGAACACAAATTACATGTATTTATCTGGTCTAATGACACTTTTTACGCCTCGTAAAACATGAGCCATAAATGGAAGCGAATCGAGCGAACTCAACGCCACGCATCAATTGACATTTTTGGCATTAAGCATTTTGGCATAAAGGTGGAATGGAGTCAATACAATGGGGCCAAACGACAACAATTCCGATAGAAAAATCATTACGACGAGTAAATAACAACGAGGTAAACAAGTTTGTGGCAAAAAAATACAAATAAATAAAGAAAAACAAGAAAGAACCCAGGACAATGGGACAACGGCAGGAGGTGAAAAATGAAAATAGTAATGAAAATGGCGGCAAACAAAAGTCAATCGTCAGTTGCTGTTGTTGTTGAGGGGAAATTGTCGAAAAATATTGCGAAAGAAATCGGCGGCATGAGACACTTTGTATTATTAAGCGACGACAGGTAGACAAATCAAAATGTGACTGGCTGACTGGTGGGGATGGGGGTTTCCGTTTCCGCTCCAGTTCTCCGTCTCGGTTTCCGGTGGCTCGTGCCAACGCAAACACAACCGCGCCGAGAAATCAATGTAATTGACGAACTGACAGACTGCGTAAGTGAGTGAATGAATCGTGTCGTTTATTGTGGTAACAGCTTTTCACAAGGAGCTTCCTTTCCCGCGACTTTGTTTGTCTTTTAACTCGATTGCATGGCAACTTTTGGGCCTGCCCCACTCTTCTATATATATCTATTTTCTTTTTTCCCTGGTTTTTATTATTTCCTATGCCTCTGTGAATGTGAATGGCTTTCGAAATGTTTGCGTGCCATTTGTGTTGACAGTAAATCCGCTTAATGATTTCATTTTGGTTATAAATAGGATTTTTTCGGTCTGAATATGCAAAGGAGATGAGAGATGGGCCTAATGCTCACTTAGGGTAGGTCATGTTCAAAAAAAAGGGGGAAGCATACTTAGGGAAATGGTTAAGTGAAAAACCTAAAGTGCTCAATGGAAACTACAATAGCAAACACCTTAAAAAATAAAGAAATATATAAGAAAATTAAGGGATTAAAGCCTGCTGAGCAAGTTTCACTTATAAAATCGATTTGAACTTCACTTCAACTTTTAAAAACTTGAAAAACCTTTCAATTCAATTTACGCTCAGCACCTTGGTTAAAATATGAATAGAGCTAAAGCATCCATTAGTTAGCTTTTTTTTGGAACACGGATCCGCCGAATTATGTGCGCCTTTTAAATAAACAAAACGTGAGTTTTCGAGCGGAATTAAAGCAAGTTTTAAAAGCAAATTTCCACCTTGCCAAGTCCGAGAGCTGGCAAAGATTCCACTGGCCTCGCAGCAGCACCAGCAACAAGGGCAAAGTTTTCACATTTTTGTTTAACATTTTCCAAATGCCTTTTTATCATTTTTTCCCCCTTTTCTTTTTATTTTTATTTTTTTTTTTTTGTAACACTTTTAATCAGAGCTCGCAAATAACTGTCGACCGATTTTTTTCTTACGCTCTCGTTGCGAGCACAACCGAAAAAGTTCATACTCTCTCGCTCTCGCTCTGAGCAAGAGACTCTTGTTGTATTCTTTTAGGTTTTCTGTTGAACGTTTTTCGTTGAGATCTTTGTGTGTCGCTCTTTCAATGAGCATTGCCTAAAGAGCGAAACGAGAAACGCTCGCACAATGAGAGTCAGCAAAAGACCGATTGACCGAAAAACTCAACGCAAACGGTCTTTGCATTTACTCACACACACTCAATTCACGATCGCAATACAGACGCTTAACGACTTGCTTGCCTATGCGTGTGAGTGTATACCAATACATATGCAAAAGACTTTTTGCTTCACTGAACACGACAAAACGGTCTTGGAACAACCAGAACAAAACAGAATTAAGAAAAACGGTTTCGCTCTGAGCGAGAGCGAGCTCATTTAAGCACCCTTATTTCGGTTGCTCTCTGAGTTTTTTCGTAAAGTGTCAGGAAAAGACACTTATTTGCAGACAACGAGAAACGGTCGACAGTTATTTGCGAGCTCTGCTTTTAATGCATAATGGAATTAGTTAAATTTCTCTTTGCAGCGCAAACTTTCGCTGAACTTGCGCCAAAAAGTTAGCTTCGTGTTTTCCCCTTTTTTTCCGGCAATGTTATGCGTTTCTGATGACGTTGTAGAAAACGTTTCCGTTTTTGGGATCTTGCTTGCAATGAAAACTTTTTAACTTAGAACCGACTCCCGCTCGAATTTTAATTAAAATATTTATGAATTTGTCTTTGAAAAGACAAGCTAGAAGAAAGGCAGCCGAGAGACGTGCTCGGGAGTATCTTGATTAGCTGGCAATCACAAAAGACCGGCCAAGGGAGGTAAATATAGGAAAGTCAGCTGCCAGAGATAAAAGCCAGGCATCAATTGTAACTCAGAGTCGTTCATGTGGCCAACTTTCTGATTAAGAAAACAATGAAAATCAAGTCGAGCTATAACAATTTTTAATTATATACGCCACGAGGAACGTGCCCCTTTTGAATGAAATACTAGAATAAAGATTTCATTGTGATATCATTTTTGATTATGCTCATATGACACTACGTTGGATTTTATTTATTTTTCCATTGAAATATTTATTTTAAAATAAAATAGAAATTTTTGTAGGTTATAAAGACATGGGTTATACTTATTCTAATTTCACTAAGAAAACATTT